CCGTACTAACAACGAAGTAGACCATAATTATACAGAAACTTTGAATTGGATTTAGCTGCTACAATGTTAGTAAATAACGAAATGCTCTACATATTCGATATTACAATCCTTATGTTCTGGCAAAGCCATTTCACAATTCATTTCAACAGCAGATAGACTGACGGAGATTTCTTAAGGGTGCTGGAAACACTCTAAGGGAAAGGATGGGAGGAATATGGGCTACTGTAGATTGACTGTTTCTGAATATGACCACGTGACACACATGACGAACACGGAATCGATGAATCTTCTAACATGTTACCACAAAAATGAGGTTTTTAGATTTGGCAAGCTAAGAGATTGTGATAATATTCGTCTATTAGTATCAATACTCAGAGACAGTGGAAAGGTTATCAACTTTAAGATGAAGTGTGGCGTCGAGTCACGTTTGACTATGATCACCACTACAAGTAGATTGCATACCAGAACAGGCTAAACCTACGAGTGAACCAGAAATCAGAAGGCGATTGATGGTTGTAGTGAGATATATTTGTTGGTGATCTCGTGGTATCAAAAGAATACCAAGATCGTGCCAAAGGAGTACAAGCGGAACTACTGAGCAAACGTAATTTCGTGCAAGGTCACAATCCACGGAAGAAGGTATGTATTTTGGTACAGTTAAACAAACAAGTACGATTAAACAATCCCTCGCCAGCAGTTTTATCTTTATCATTTCAGTTCTTCCGATTATTGAATGAATACGGAACCTTTCATACCTCACATCCTACATATCAGGTTTATAGACTACCGACGTAGATGATCTATGTCAAATGATTGAGGGCCTACTCGAGTTAGACGGGGATGGTGTAACCAACAGCTAACTTCAAACTTACACCTCACGGCCAACACCCAACGTAGATGGTGGGGAACCCATCATCGTATCAAGACACTGTGGCTGCTTTGAATACCGTATAACGCAAAGGACATTATCACAGGAATGTATTAGTAAAAGTGGATACAATCGGGGAAGTTGAGACCACCACGGCATGGATCAGTCCATGGCATGCAAGTAACTGACTGTTCTTGACCTTGATGGCGTTCAATGAACTATTTGACATTCAGTGACCCAGTTGCCAGAAGATTTGATTAGGGCACAGAGACATTTCACTGATCCTAAGGTCTAACACAGCCGGTAACACCTTTATTTATTGACACAGTGCTTCCGAAGCAAAGTAGAAAAACTCAAAGACAAAGTTTAGAGGAGAAGGTGTGAAGGGAGTAAGACGAACGAAAAAAGCGAAGACAATAGTGAAGGGATTCACATATATTGGTCGCGTGTTTCAAAAAAGGGCAGCGATTTAACACTTGTGATTAACTTCGTTTTTTGTACGTTTTGCAACAAAAAGAATTCTTAGTCAGGTTTTAGCTGAAATATTTCGGTTCGGGTTTGAAATATTGTTTAACTTTGGCTTATGGTACATTCTTTCTCGTTGATTCTGGCACTTGTGCTTATATGATGGTTATTACCATATTATTATTATTATTATTATTATTATTATTATTATTATTATTATTAAGCCATCTTAATCTGATTGCAGTTGTTGGCAATTCCAAATTGTTTATTCTCCGAGGAGGAAGGAATGTAATGTGATGAGTGTAAAAAGTAGTACCATTGGACATGTACCAGTTTTGTATGTTTTACTGTACGAGTAAAACGTTACTGAATCAGAGGTCTATGTGTCTCCTGGCTTTGGCCTGTAACGACAATGATGGTGTTGCTCTGTTAACAAGAGTACTAACAGTGAAGAATGTATCAGTGTAGTATGTGTTGTTACAGGATAACTTAAACACCAAACCGTAATTGACGGAACGGCGAAATCTCTGTTGAAATTTACAAGGAGTAAATTGCCACTTGATATTGATGTGGGTAGTCATGCTTCCACAGTAGATACTGAAGACCCGAGTGAAACAAGAATCAATCAACATCGAGGTGTACAGGACATTCTGTGAACCACATGTCGAGAAATTCGAACACTTCCCTTCTATCTGAAGTTTGTGTTGATGATATCATCCAGAAGAACGATAAGAGCTCCACGACCAAACCATCCAGCTCAGATAAAAAACTCCATCAAAAACTGTCACCGTCTGTAATAGTCCAGATGCGGCTGTCCTATTGGACAAAAACTGAATGATAGTATACAAACAAAGAAGTGAAGGAAAGATGCTATGAGCGGCACCCACTTGATTAGCAAGTCATTGGTAGACTCCCATTCTGAGCCACGTGATACACTACCAAATCTGATAGTACGACAGTATATCACCCTATCATGGCTGGTAAAAACTTAATCTCATCGAATGTTATCGTAATTCACTAGAATCAAACGACCCTAATCCTGAAATTAGACACGATTTGGAAAAGTTCAGAGAATTTGTCCGTAGCATTTTATTAGATGACTCTTAAAGATTTCAGGCCAAAAAATTGGTAAGAATAGGCAAGAGGGCCGACGACACTGTTGAATCTGACCATATAGTTTCCCTAAGTTAATCTTAGGGTTGGAGAAGCAACGTGGTCTTCTGTTAAGCAGCGCTCGCAGTCACAACTTTACTAACATTCGGGTAAGACCCGATATGTCTCTGGAAAATGGAATAAAAAGAAAGGTGGTACTAGCCGAACTAGAGACCTGTCGACAAAGTGATGAGGGGAATCTCTGCTTAGTGGGTTTTCTAATAGTCAGTTCTTGAAAGCGAATGCCACCAAGGCCTATGTGGACAGGTCGTTCTCTCTAGGTGTTTTATATGCAAATACTCGTAGTCTGAAAAATAAATTTTACTAACTAGTTGCATTGGTGGACAAATTAAGGCCACTCATTGTAGTCTTGACGGAAACTTGGTTGGTCCACGACTACAGCATTACCCCAGAATTATCCAAATAAGAAGTGATAGACATAAATGTCGGAAAGTAGGTGGCGTCTTTTTATGCATAGGCAACAATATAAATATCCTCTCCTTTGCTCGCGAATCCCGTGATAGTGGGACTTGTGATGTCATTGTCTGTGAGCTCACTATTAGACATTCTACATTTATACTCGGTGTCATCTATCATGGCCCAATCTGCTTAGCTAATGACTTTTTTAGGACACATTCAGCTATGGAGCGCGAATAACACTTTAATACACCTGATATTAGTTGGACCGAGATGGCTACCGTAGGATCTGTATATTATTTCGGTAGGAGGCCCCTGATGACAGCAGTAGCGCATCCTTTAGTACAGTATGTACCCAAACCCATACATTTTGTTTCTAACCAGGGATCTTCTTTTTTAGACTTAGTAACCACTCATACGACTGAGGATATTACCAATCTAGATATTTGTGGTGTTTGAATGAACTAATGATTCCTTTGTACATGCAGAATGCTTGATTCCGAATTCCATATACAGTACATTCGTTCGTGCTTATCTTATACTTCTTGATCTAATCGCGTTATTTCTGGGATCCCTAGTTTGTACTATAATGCAAATACTCCTAATTATCACAATATTCTTCCACCGTTAGCGAGCAGCGATATCGCTGTTTTGTCGTTCACGTTTACAGCTTGAGTCAGTATATAATCAGGCTAAACCTCACCCTAATGTATGGAGAGCAAACATACCACCATTTAATAGTAAGCTGAAACAACAGACTAGCAAGTAAATACTAGCTCATTAGTTGAAGGAGCATGTTTTATATTTAAAGGCAAGCCCAGTTCACTTACGTCCTCATTTATACCATGCCTAATTCTACGTAAACCGAGTAAATATTCGCCACGAATAACTAAGCAGATTAAGAAACTTCTTAGACGTAGGATAAAGCATTGGAATATGTTCATCTCTACTGGCTTAGAACAGTACAGAACCAGTTATTGTAAGACTAGTAATGTTTGTTAAGCGTCGGTAAGTGAGACTAGACAGTCATGTGAAAATTTTTTTATTAGTGACTACAAAAATATTCCGAGACGCTTATTCTCGTATATAAAAAGGCGAACTCAGAGAAGTGGTGGGATACCATCACTTGCGGTGCAATAGGATCCGTTAATATTTGCATGAGATGATGTCGAAAAAGCTGAAGCTTTTCTATTAGCATCGAGGAACAACCAGTGGCATGGATGAAAAGATGGTCACTAGAAGTTAATTTTAACATGAGTGTGGTGATGCAATTAAACATTGTGATTCGTATCACTACTCAATATGTAGGGTTGTGTTACCTAAAGCAATGAAATGTAAAAATTTAGGAGTCATAATAAGCAGCAGCCTCAAAATACGAGCAACTGTAAGGTTGTTGCCGCCAAAGGCTTTAGAGTATTACGGGCTATTCTTAGGTCTTTACAGTACATGGATGAATAAATGTTTAGAATTAGAATTTAAGCAGAAAGTCACCGTTTCAAGTATGAGGCAGATATATTGTAACGAGTCCAACAATAAGGGACTAAAATGTTAAAATGTCTCTATGACCTATCTTATGAAGACAATCTGAGACACCTCAGCTTATTTTCGTTATCTTACCGTAGATTACGTGGTTATCTAATACCGGCCCATCGTATACTAAACGATGAACTTGTTAGCAATATGTCACATCTTTTCCTTCTGTCTGGGACTGAGTATTTGAGAGGACACATGAAGAAAGTCTAAAAACCGAGATCAAATCGTCGACGTCTGAAGTTTCGCTTCTCGCACCGAGTAGTGAGTTGCTGGGATTCTCTACCAGAATACGTTATGCCAGCGCTTCCTGCTGATATATTCGAAACGAGATTGGGCCTCCGAAGTGTTACAAACTGCAGGGACTAATATAGTTCGATATACCTACCCTAATTATTGAAAATGAAGACAAATATCATTGGAACCACTCGGGTCGAGAGTTAAGTAAATATTCTCATCGAAAGCAACCTTTAAACGGTAAACCGTCTGTTCACATCAGAATACGAAGCCTGATAAATCAATTAGCATATTGCGGATTGTCTCAAAGCTCTTGAATATTGAAAGTTTCACTTGTGCATCGGATTAACATAATGCTTGTTTTACGCGGATTAGTTAAAATCCTGTGTTATGATGACAGTGTCTATACATTTCGGTAGCTATGTGGTCCACATATTTCGTGTTTATTAGTAAGTATGCGTTCATTTGATTAAGAGTAACACACTATTCCTATGGTGTTCGAGACCGTGACATATAAGTTGTAAGAAAACCTTCAACTTCAATACCTTAAGGTGCTGAAGTGAACAATTGTTCACTAATTATGAATGGTTACTAGTATAAATTAACATGATCGCTTATAGCTGTATTCTCGATTTTAGGGTGCTTATTCACTTTGTGATTCCTGTTAGGTTTATATGCATGAGATTTCATCGATTAGTTTATATTGATATTCAGTTATACATGTCGGCTTTAGTTTTTAGCAATATGATACAAAATTCTCAAGGATTCCATTGCTAGCATTCTCCTAAGCGACGAAGACACAGCCTTGATTTTGTTGCGACTACTGTCCACTTCAGTTCAGCACACTGTAGCGTTCATTCACGATGTATTATTTTTAGCACAATTCGACGGAGGCTCAGCGCGATGCACCTTAAGCTGCCCAACACCAACTTTAAGATTTTCTCCCTTTTTAATTGTCAGTGCAGTGCCTCACGAGTTATTAGTGTTTCACCTTCCTGCTCTATGTGTATTGCTTATTATAAGTTTCGTCAATGGGTTTCTGCTGATCCGGTATTAAGTCTAAAAAATGTAATGGTCTTGCTTAATCCGGTAACTTTCGGAATTGTACGGCTATTTCTCTCATGCTAAGGTTATTAAAGATACAGTCAAAGTAAATGATGAACCAGATGTTTGGTTATTTTGTGTTTCGGCTACTTATGGACTCGTCCCCGTAAACTTAACGGATATGTTGGTACCACAGAGAAAGATATTGGTTGCCATAAATCACATAGTTGGTATTCTTTAGTTCCTCCTATTTTCCGTTTCATCCAAATCAGTATATGTAACCAGTGAGTGTCACTGTCCCTTACAATGTATGTCTGACAGCTGCCTTTACACATTTGTTTTATAAACTGTTGGTTTGATGCTTTAACTTGTATATTATTTAACTACTGGTTATTTCTTAAGTTACCTCTTCTCAGTCAATAATCAGCTGTGTATTTAATAACTTGTGAATATTGCTATATATCTCCAAACTACTTGCGGAATCTGTGACATTTCCGGCAAGAGCATCAAATCATAGTAAATTGTGCAATCTCAGTTAATCTAAGTTCGGGTGGTTTATGGTCTCTTGCTGTCGGATAATGTGCTTTAGTGTTTTGAGGATTTGCACTTTGCTTTCTGAGGAAAAGACAAACAACATTCAGTAAATTATGGATATTGCTCAGTTCTTTTTCGGTTTATATTATTAGTCTGTTAACTAATGTATTTAATATTCGAAATCTCGAGGCCGCGAAGTTTTTACGCGAATTAGCATACAGTCAGTTATGTTAAAACCCTATAGAATTATGGTTGATAGAGTAGGCTGATGTTGACTAATGCGCTTAGACAAGAAAAGTCATACATGTATTTAAAATGTACCTAATTTGTACATGGACAGCCGTCTCTGGAAGTCGTTAGTGCTATTCGGGAAATTCATGCGACTTTATTAAGAAAATTAAGAACCTTGAAGCTTTAGCCTTACCTAAAAGGAATTTAATTAGTTTCATCTATGAAAACTCTACTTATTGTAAAAATGCAACTCCCTTGTGTGTGATATCTTGCTTTGGTTGATGACTCACCACAAACGGATCTTAATATCAAATATAATGGTTGATTATGGACACAAATTATTTTTTATTGTACAGAAGGTAACCAAATCCACAATTGGTAAACTGACGTTTATCATAAAGGTTTAGTTGTTACATACTGATTTCTTGAAACCTTAAGAAACTATTATATGTTCTGGATGACTTCAATAAAAGTATTGCAAAAGCAAACTCAACAATTTGCATTTTCTGTGGTAAGAACACCAAATTATCTGAATTGTTTTGGGAATTGTTCCTATTACTGTATATTCATCAGAGGTTATTCAATAAAACTAGGTCTTTCTTTTATAATTCAGCTTACTGATACAAATATACCATAATTACTCCAAGAGAGTAAATTAACGATAGATCTTAAATTCCAAACTATTTGGTTTTGGTGTCGTTTTGTATATTTCCAGATACAGTGTACTAAGACCAACTAACCAAATTTCTTTTTCATGTACCTCTTGAAGAAATGTCTTTCCACGGTATGGGCAACCAGAAAGTTATGACCGCCTTCATACATCTAACAGCACTTAAGACCATTGTATTGATGATTAATTTCTGTCTTCGATTACTATTATTCCTCCTACCTCGACTATCGGCTCTAAACATCCTCCCCAACCGTCACCATAGCCAACGATTCTAGTGCGCGAAATACTGTCTCAGGTCTACTGCAACCTCGCTCCAAACTACACATTGAAACCTTCAACGTACGTACCCCATGTCAAGTCGGCCAGCAAATCTCCTTGGCTAAGACCCTAGAACCTCGTACCATTGATGTATGGTGTGTCTCCATAGCATGCATACAGGATCCTAGTGTGGTCATTGACGACTTCACCTAGCCAAAACAGGTAGCCAACGAGATATACCCTCCATTTATCTGCCGACCTGATGGCTAGTTTTTGTGGACTGGTGGGTGTAGGCATAGTACTTAGTACGAGGGCAGAACAAGTACTATTAGGATGGATCCCATTTAACAGTCACCTATGTGATGTTCGGCTAAACAGCTTCGTAAGAACTCGGAAGGATAGCGACATACGTCGTTGCCGTTTCGTCGTTTCTGCATACGCCTTCAATGAGTGCAGCCCGGATGAAGTAAAAGATGACTTTTACAGAAAGCTTTCTGAACTTCTTCAGACACTCAGACATTGTAATCGTTGCAGGTGACTTTCATATCTAAGTAGGTAACTTTAAACCAAATAAGAAAAACATTTAGGTGCGTATCGTGGTATTCTGGCCCAGTGAACAGATAATGGTGACGGTTTGTTGCATCTGTGCTCAGATAATCGTTTGTTTCTAACAATCACTAATTTTAAGCATAAGACATCGTCTCACATGGTGACCTTCTACACCAAACCAACGATGGACTAAATGGACCGTATTGCCTTCAGTCATCGGTAGGAGACCCCTCGTTCTGGAATACATGTTTAGACTCTGATCATGCGGTAATAGGAGCATGCATTCGCTTGTGCCTCGCTGGATACAGAAAAGCCACATTAAGAAGACCCATCAGAGTTGAACTCAGAGATGAGAAAACCAAAGGTAAATTCCAGGAACAACTGGAGTTACATTTTAGCAATCTAGAAAACGAGGCTAACCCATATGTTGCTTGGAAGGATATGCAAACAGCTGTGGAAACAACAGCAACGTCTGGTGATTCGAATCAAAGGGTTGTGAAAAACCAGTAGATTTATGCTACATCTGTTGCACTGGTAGTCTCGTAAACTTCCCCACCAGGCTCTGAACACGATGACGAGCGAAGACAAATCAAATGTAGGCTAACCTAAAGTTTACGGAACGGTCGTAAGCAATGGTGGGCGATGAAAGCAAGGGATGGAAAAGGCAGTGGCTGTAGGTAACACAAGACAGCTTTTCAGACTAATAACAGAAACCGAAATTAAGAAGCCGAGTGTGAGACAATCGCCAAAAAATATGACACTTATCTGCTCTCAGTCCAGACGTTTAGAACGATGGTTGAAACACTTTAAGGGGCAGTTCAGCTGGCCTTCAGCTACTCTACAGCTACCCACCATTCGCAAACACCATGAATGGAATATTGAAATAGACTCCCCGATTCTAATTGAGGTTCAAAAAACCATAGCTGGTCCAGATGGACTAACTACAGAGGTCTTTCAGGATAGTGGTCCAATTTTAGCGATTAGGTTGACTAATATTTTAGCTAAAATCTGGGAGTTAGACATTATCCCATCTAACTGGTCGCAATCACTTATCGTCCCAATATATAAGAGAGGGTCAAAATCATCCTGTATCTAAAATACTAGTCTCGATAATTATCGGACGCCTAAGACTAGTGAACTGCAAACGAGAGGAAATCAAGCTGGCTTCAGACCTGGTCGTGGTTGCATCGATCACATATTCACCATTCGTCATATCTTAGAACACAGGCATACTTATCGGCGTCCGACAATGGTGGTCTTTCTTGACTTGAAAGCAGCATTTGACTCGGTAGACCGCGAGATTCTGTGGTAGTGTCTGTCATTGAAAGGCATACCTCAGAAGTACATAAACCTTGTGAAGGCTCTTTACTCGAACACTACTAGTCGAGTCAGAGCTTATGGCGAAATGTCATCTGGTTTTGCAACCCCAAGTGGTGTCCGTCAAGCCTGTCCACTTTCGCCATTTTTGTTCAACTTCATCATAGACCTACTGATGGTAATGAAATTCTCGTCTGCTGAATTCTCGGGTATTGATCTTCCTCCAGGAGGTCCACTTATCGACTTAGAATACGCAGATGACAGTCCTGTTTGGTGAAGACGCTGATATAATGCCGAGTCTTCTGGTAGCACTAAGCAACAATGTCAGAATGTTTGGGATGTGCTTCTCTCCCTCTAAATGCAAATTGCTGCTTCAGGACTGGTCTATTTGAGTCCATCGTTGGTTTGGTGTAGAGGGTTGCCATGTTAGATGATGTCTCTCCTTATGCTTAAAATTTGTGTTTGCTAAAAATAAACGATTGTCTGAGCACAGTTGCGGCAGACGATCACCATTATCTGTTCGTTGTGCCGGAATACTAAAATACCCGCCTAAATGCCTTTCTGTTTGGTTTAAACTACCTATCTGAGCATTGAAGTCACCCCCTACGAGTACTAAGTCTGAACGTTTAGCTTTCTGAAGAAGTTTAGATAGCTTTCTGTAAAATTCATCTTTCACTTCATCTGAGCTGCAGTCAGTGGGAGCGTAGGCAGAAACGACAAAAAGGCAACGACGTGTGTCCCTATCCTTCCGAATTCTTACGGAGCCGTTTAACCGAACAGCACATAAATGACTGTTAACGAGGATCCACTCTAACAGTACTTGCTCCGCTCTCATGCTTAGTGCTATGCCTAGACCTGCCAGTCCACGAGAGCTGGCCGTCGGATCACCAGATAAATGGAGGGTGTATATCATTGGCTCTCCGTTTTGGCTATGTGAGGTCAAGTAAATGACCACACTGGTATCCTGTATGTGTGTTTCAGAGACAGCATACATCGATGGCACGAGATTCTAGGGTTCTAGCCGAGGAAGCCTGTTGACCGATTTGACATAGGGTGCGTACGTTGAAGGCTCCAGTGTGTAGTGTGGAGCAAGGTTTCAGTAGACCTGGGAGTGTTTTGAGCACTAGAATCGTTGGCTATGGTGACACTTGAGGAGGAAGTTTAGAGGTGAAAGTCGATGTAGGAGGAATAATAGAAAGTGAAGACGGAGGTTGACTATGAATACAGTGGTCTTGAGTGCTGTTAGAGGTATGAGAGCGGTTATCACTTCCCGTTCGCCCACACCGTGGAAGGGTTGTTCTGGAGGTACCTGAAAGGGAAATTGGATCAGAGGTGGTCTTAGTGATCCGAGAGCGTGAACACAGTGCCCAAGGGACAACTGCTCGAGGTCGATCACACACGACTTTTTTATGAGTGATTTTTGTGTTAGCTCCGTACTTGTTGAGACCTTACCACCGGAGACGGATATCCGTGGGATAAGGCGAGGTGTGCATTTTTAGGGTCGACCTTTTCTAACCTCACCCCTCCTTGGGAGAAGGCAGCATCGCTGTCATACTGGTTGTCTGAAGGAAACACCTTACTGCTGTCACACCCCTCTACAGTCAGCAGTACGACTTCGCCTTCGGACCTTGGGTTTGTTGCTTTTAATCTTTCTGCTCTTCAACCGACCTGTCTGACATGGTAGGACCTTGAGGAACAGTTGTTCCAGCCAGTATAGCTCAGTTGCTTCATCACGATAGGCAAGCCCGACCACCACGTCAAGGTAGCAATAACGGTCGGGGGTATAATACTGGGAAAGTGTTCTTTCTGATAGTTTATAACAGACGTTTTCTACTTTTATTTGTAGGATTGTGGATTATCTTTGGAGGACAAAAGTCACTGTCGTTTAACACGATTAACGCTAAGTTGTAAAGAGTATGCCTTAGGTGATTAACTAACGCCTTTTAAGTAGTCCGTAGCTTTGTTAATATCTGTTGGTGATTCTTGAGTGTTATTTGAGACTAACGCATCCGAATACCTATAATTATCAACCCATTGAATGTTTTTTGTACTTCGTCGTTTTGATCTATATATTTCATTGGTGTGCAAAGTATATAAATTTCGAAGAATATCATGGAGATCGTTTTAATTTATAAGCAGTATTCGTCACAAATTTACCTCAATCGGAGTACCACTAAAAACCAAGGAACTCTGATTACCTGTCTCTTTCTCGTATGGGGCCCAGAAGTACTCAACCATGACCCTCAAAAATCTATTCTAGGACCTTCATGTTATGTCTTGCGACCGCTGATGAAAATCACATATCGAATCGTGGTCCTAATTCGGTCTATTATTTACACTGTAACTCAGTGTCTGACAAAATGCAGAGTCTTTTGACCACTCTAAGCAACAATGCAAGCATGTTCGGGATGCGATTCTCTCCCTCGAAATGCAAAATGTTGCTTCAGGATTGGGTTGCATTGACACCCGAACAAATGATAAGGGTGAAGTAGTTGAGCATGTCGATCGCTTCACTTATCTCGGAATTCTCATCAGCCCTTGTGGTCTGGTGTGTGACGAAATCTCAGCACGGATACAGAAGGCTCGACTGGCTTTTGCCAACTTGCGTCATTTATGGCGTAGGCGAGATATCCGTCTATCAACCAAAGGACGTGTTTACTGCGCAGCAGTTCGTTCCGTCCTACTTTATGGCAGTGAAACATGGCCGGTAAGAGTAGAGGATATCCGTAGGTTACTAGTATTTGATCATAGGTGTCTTCGAAACATTGCTCGTATATCATGGGACCATCGAGTAAGTAACACAGTTGTTAGGAAACGGGTACTAGGTAAGGATGGCAAATCAATTGATGACGTAGTGAAACTTCATCAGTTGTGGTGGCTGGGACACGTGTTACGTATGCCCAACGACCGACTACCTCGACGTGCTATGTTCAGTGGTATAGGAGTAGTTTGGAAGAAAGTTAGGGGCGGCCAAACCAAAACATGGCACAAGTCCATGAAGTCACTGACAAGTGGACTGAGTCATGTTGGTAGGTGTAGACTACCTGGTTGGGGACCGCGAGATGACAGCAACCGATGGTTAGAGACCCTGAATGACATGGCTCAAAATCGTTTGCAATGACGCAGGTGCATCCACTCTTTGTGTTCTCCCAAATTCGAATCTTCTGAATACTTCATGTCCCTCTCTTTTTCCTCTTTCCAAATGTATTTCACTGGTTTATACTCCTCGAATAACATCTTCAAACCCTAATTTTTCTGATTACAGGTTATAATTTTACATCTAGCACTACGGGATTTGAATCGACCACTGCATCTCTGTGCTAATGTGGTGTGGCAACTCGAACTGATGTACGTACGTACGAAGTTCTACGTTGTTACTGACTGAGTGTCTGTGACTTGGTCAATTACACATCCGACCAGCACTGTCGGCCTTGTGCTGACATCTAGGCTCCTGTTACTCCTCTGTTCGCCAGCTTCTCTCTGTCTCCAGCCTTGAGCTCAGTAGTCAGCAACCAGCGTCTACTTTATTTATATCTCAAACAGACGAGTTTTACACACAGACAAAGCAGACTGTGTCACACTTGAAAATGAAAAATAACAATTACAAATGAACAAGCTAAAAGTGGCTGTGAATAGAGGAGACTGGGAACAAATTAAGAATAGTAAGTTGTATAACAGTAGTTAATGGCTCAACCGAAACCTTACGATATGTAATTATACAAAAAAATTATGATTAATAATTCGATGAGTCAGTTCCAACTTTCAAAATATTCGTTTCGTCATGACAATTCAGGCTCCATCTCAAGCGCCTAATCATCATATTAGTAGGTTTGGACAAAATTATATTTATTTCCAACTTACATCAGTTTATAACCCTCTTATGACATAGGCAATGATTGTCTCGCTCTCGATATGTCCAAACTTCACGAGTCACTACTTTCCATTAAAACTTCAAGTACTCACCTCAAAGTAGTTTACTGAAATTGTCAAGTTACACTTTTCGGCCTTCATTCTCATGGTTCATTTAGTTCAAAATTAACGACTCACAAAAGAGTGATTTTTCTAACTTGTGAATTTGTCTAGTTCTTCGGTTTTTCGCATACTCCCAAAACACAACAGCATGTAATTAAGTCGAAGTTAATTGTCAACTACCTTCAACTTTATGTTGCTTTCGCTTACTCTTTTTCTTTTTTTTTCAGTGTTCGTATATTTCTGTTCGCTTTCATGTACTGAAACATCAAAACCAAAATACAAATTGATATCGGCACCTGTAGGTGACCGTGTTGTTTTGTCATGTGGAATCGGGGACAGTAAATACCGTGTTTATGAGTGGCTCGACAACAAAAAACCAATGGAATTTGCTACACATAATGTTACCATGCACTCTAATGGAAGTATAGACTTTCGACTTCGAATGGAAAATGCAGATAGAATATTTAGCTGTCGTTCGTACAATTCTTATCCGAACGGCACGAATGACTCATCTCTTATTTTTGTGTACAACTTCGTACCAATAGGTATGTAATATTTGTGTATGTTTAAGATCATCTGATAAGTAGCCTGTTAGTATTAAGTAATTATTTTTTTTGTAAAATATTATTTACATGTATGGTAGCCATTTATGATCTCTATAGTAAACCTAGATCCTTAATAAGAACTCACTTCTTGAATCATATACTGGGAAATCTGAATGAATTTAATTCCATTTATTCTGTTGAGATGTCAATGGTTACTTAGGATTGGGGCGAAATGGAAGACAAGAATTATTTGGTAGTAGTACTTCAATGGACATTCTGGCTCGGAGCTTCTATTTACAAGAAAATGAGTAAAATAGTTGAATTACAGTTCTTGGAGTATTTTTCCTACTTCATTTATTCCCTTTTTAATATCCGAATTTATTTTTTAACTACATCATCTTTAGAACAGTCACTTTTGGCAGTAAATGGAATTTTTGCGTATCTTAATTTTGAAAAATGATGAATCTGTATACCACTCGGGTAGCAAAAGGTGCATATAATCTAGGTTACAGGTCCCATTATTTCAATCATCAGCTGAAAAAGGTTTCATGACTAGTCTCATCCGTTTTTGTTAATTAATTTGACAGCAGTAATTTATTTATCATGAATAGACTGTGTAACTTAATGTTTATCTAATCTTTTCGTCGAAATTCCCACTTATTTTCTTTTTGTTTTATGGAGTTCGTTAAATGATTGTATGGTACTGTAAGGGCATTGAAATATCCCAACGGGATTCAATATGATTATTAATTTCTGTGTTTATGCCCGCACGTCGATCTTAGTTATTTGTTTGTCCAAATATCCAAGTACAGGGAAACAATTGGCTAATCCCTCAGTCTTAAGATTAGTCTCAGTCCAAGTAAAATGAGTAATCTAACAAATGTAATACACAATATTTGTTGATTTAGTCATGGTTTTAGCATGTCCGACAGTTATGCATCTCGAAATTCGTCTGTGATCCGTTCAGTTAATTGTAAGTTTTATTCCAGTGATTGTCAGTTCAGACAGTGTCTTCGTGCTCTCAGAGTTTATACTTGTCAAAAATGATTATTTTATAAAAGTTACACAGAGTGGTCATTTTTGTCAGTTCCGGATGCTTAAATTTCAGAAGTAATGTAACAAGGCCTTTTCAATACACTCAAGCACCTGACTGTTAGGTCATCAACGATATGTATTTTAAGTACTGCTAAGGAAAGCTACTGTCTTAGGTTCATTACTTTCCTCAACAGTCTCAATTAATATACATTGTCATACTAGAAATGCGGATCAGTAAGTTTGATGTCTGTTTACAGATGGTGGTTGTTAAAGTTGTCAGTAGAGACTGATTGATCTCTGGTTACTCACTTGAGATCTAATTTGTTTAATTATATGTCATAATCATTTGTAGTTTTTTAGCCTTACTTGCACTTCGACTTGTTTATCTTTTTTTAACAGTTAAAGCATTTCTTGCAGAGACAGTGCATAATGCTACTGTAGACTGGGGGTCTATCTACAGATTCCCGTGCATTTTTGGAGGGACTGATCCTAGAGAGAATACAATGATACTCAATAATCAGGTAAATCACAATGTTGAATTCAGATAATCTTTCTACTTTTATCTTGTGTACATACATCTTATCAAATATTTTATTAAAATCATGAACTGATTTAAATTATACCACCATTGAAAATCTTGAAGTACTGGATGACCGTATCGTTTTTGTATCGAACTCCTTGACACTGTACATTAACGACTCCGCATCCTGTGGTCGAATCCAGGACCCTCAACTTCGCACGTGAACACTTAACGTATAGACCACTAAGACGGGATCCAGCGGTGTTAATGTCTGACATCAATCCAAGAAATTGCACGGCCATCTTCGATTTTATTCGATGGGTAACTGCCTCACACCCAACACTGATTAGCTCCACTAGTCACGGCTCCTCACTAGAATTCCGGAACTTTCCTCTCAAAGCTCGTCACTAGTCAGGACATGATAGTTCCCAGTATGAGGTTGTGGAGTTTGTTGAATTTCATTGAAATTATGAATCCACCTAAGTCACATGACCACAGAGGTTTGATCTCGAGCCGCAAGGTCGTGGATGCGCACTGCCCAGGAGTCCCACACTAGGATGAGAAAGCTACCCAGTACTTCTAGGTTTTCAATAATAATTTAGATCAGTTCATGATTTCAACAATCTCTACAACTCCATTCTGAAAATATCAAATATTGTGTCTCTTCAATGTTAAACGCCTAAACTATTTGTTTACACATTCCAGGTAGTTAATTTTCATCCGTTTTTAAATTATATTTTCATTTACTGATTAAGCATCCCATTTATTTAGTACGAGAATCTTTACTACAATGCGATGGCAAGAACTGTGTCAGAGTACGATTTTTTGATCAGAATTCATCCTCACTTGAAAACGAATTGTTTTCGTAGTCTTATCTATTACTCTCATACATATTTGTAGTTTCAAAAGATGCATTACTTTTCGAACCAGTGTATAAATATGTATATGAGTGAACATTTGCTTTGCAGTAAATTCATTTCCGGCAAAATGTTTGATTTTACTGGGGTGTCTTTCGAGACGTATTCTCAGGAAAAGTGTAATATGATTTTCTAATTGACCTAAAATACAAAAACCCGACATCCCGATAAGACCAATATTATCTATGACAAGTGTTTCGTTGCAGTGTAATGTCTTGATTTTATCATATTGCGCAGATGATCTAAAAATTTCAAAACGCCTTTTTGTATTAAATTTTAGTTTCCCAAGTTTTTAAATATAATAATGACAAACGGTGCAGATGAAGATCTACACCAGGTGTTAATGTGTTCTGATTTATTGGGATGATGAAAAGCATATTCAAAACTTAATCTAATGCACTGTTTAATCATTAGATATTGTATATTTTCTCTATTTAATCGAATTATTGTACATATACCTAAATATTATATAATTATCTCGTCCAAAAAGTATTCACCCACTAAAATATCTTGATAACTCTTTTTTATGACTTTAAGATTGTTGTTGAAATGGAACATAACATTACCGAAGATTCAATTGTGGAGTGTAAAGTTCAGAATTCCTTGGGTATGGTGCATGATTTGGCCTACATTACAGTTCGTCCTGGTCAGTTTACTAATGTATTTTTCCAAAAAACAATTTTATATTCATATTAAATCTCGTGATTAATCGCTTTAAACTTTTTCTTCTCAGTCTCATTCTTAGTTTTTTCTTGGTTTTTTTTTTAAGTAAATGCTGTAAAGTTATTTGAGTTGCTTCAGTTACAGAAAAAAGGAAATGTACATACAAATTAAGAGATTTTACCGTTTATTTTTTAAAATTTTAGATTCTAAAGCTTGGGGAATCAAACACGGAGTTTCAGATCGGTCAGTTTTAGTTTCTTTTTTATTATCATAAATATTGATATGTATTAATTAGATTTTTGGAGTCCAAGGAAAACTAGATTATCATTCTACAACTTTTTTGTAATTTAAATAAATACATAAACTTTGTGGAGATTAGTACTAAAAGAATATTCAATAACACAAACATATGAGTCTCATAAAATGTTCGTATCTAGATTGACATATTCACATGTTGAGTTAATTAGATGTTCATCATCGATGTAGCGCTATAAGAAAGTTACTGTAAGGTGGTGATGATGAGGTAGTCGACAGAAAACCGTGTCAACTACCCTAAACCATTATCCTACATCTCAGAATAGTACAAGTTAGACTAGTGAACACATTACAACTTGATTGACAGAATTTGATGAACACTAAGAAGGTTTTGAGAAACACGACATCGATCCCTACTCATTGACCAATCAGTTGTAAATGAAGGTTACTCTCTATCTCCAATGTATAACCGATGTTACATTCGAGAGCTGAAATTTCGAATTGAGTTGTTCTATTTCAAATGTTTGATTATTTAAGTGTTCATTTACTTCATTTAAAGATAAAAAGTAGATTTACGTCTAAATAAAACTATTTTTGTATCATTTAATCTCTATGTCACACAAACATTAACGAGATGTTCAATATCTAAGTATATTTTGTTTTGATTAGTGGGCTCGTATCGTGGTAAGAGTCACTAAATCTTCATGGAATTAATCTACGTTGAAATATACGTACAGTAAATAAACTATTATTTTTGTATCTTTATTAATTTTTAAGTATGAAATGATTTCATTGAAAGGAAAATCTTCGCTGAATCTTTTTCAATAACACGAAGAAATATGTTAACTGTATTCATAGTTAAAATCATGAACTCATTGTATTCGGATCACCATTAGAGGCATAGAAACAGTACATGGCCTTTTCGTTCTTATATGAAAATTCTAAGCACTGCGTATCCAAGACACCGCATCTTGTAATCGAGCCCAGGAATTTTATTTTGGCGTACAAACGCTTAACTTACAAACCACTAAAGTGGCATCCAATGTTGTTGATATCTAACTTCAATCTACAATATGAACTAGCAATGAAGGACATCACGAGGTGATGGTGTTTTCTTTGACAGCTCTTAACCGTCTTCATACCTACTCTTATTAGCCAGCATGGCACATTTGTGTTGGCGGTTGTTTATCGAGTGAGTTTGACGTGTCCTATCCACCCCAGTCGATGGAAATTCAAACAACATCAACCGATTTGTCATTTTACTTATTACTCTAAGCTTAATTTTAACTGACTCGATGATTCCACCATTTGCTGGCAGTTTCTTGGAGATATGTGATCAAATACTAACAAGTTAAGTGTATCCCCTACTTTCGAAAATTCTGTTTCACATTCGTTAGGTAATGAAGACCAAAGTTCTACACAACGCCTTCACTTTTTAATTGACAAACAGACAACTCATCTCGGCTATGCAAATGTTTTGTGTTAGTACAGAAATATTTAGGCCGTCAATCCATCAGAGTAAATAAGACTCAAGTTAATTGGTTGGTACTTTGAATTACTGCACTCCCTATGATCAACCAGGATTTTCACGGTAACTAGTCCCGGCGCAACCTTTTACATTAGCAAAATATTTATAACATTTTCTCAAGGTTGTTCAAAGGACTATGTTTTGTCAGTGCATTTACCTAACAAAACTTCGTATAAATACTTCATATTCCTTGAGACTTCTCAGTTTATCCTTCTTGTTTTAAAATTTCAGAGCGCTGTCATAAGGTTAACCTCTCAATTGAAGTGTGTCTCTGTGTGAGAGAAATTCTGTTTATCGAGTTTGAAAATAATGAGAGATTACTGTAGCCATATATGATATGAAAATACCTACACAGTATAGGCCCGGCCGTAGTTGTTATTTTGACATGGTGGTCGGGCTTGCCTATCGTGATAACTCAACCGGGCTAAATTGGCTGAAACTCATGTTCGTTTGAGTCCCACCATACCAGGTAGGTTGGTTGGAGAACGGTAAGACTAAAAGCAGCCATTTAAGGTCCGAGGACGAAGTCGTACTATTGGATATGGAGGGGTGTGATAGCAGTGTTTCCCTCGGACAACCAGCATCTGCAACAATGCCTCCTTATAACCAAAGGAAAGGGGTTAGAAAAGGTGTACGCTAAAAATATCACACCTTATCTAAAGGAAAACAGGCTCTGCTAGACTGGATTCCAATAAACTGTCACTTGTGCACCGTTCTACCAAACAGGACACTAAGAACTTGAAAAGATAGTTTACATGCCGTTGTCTCTGCCTACGCTCCCACTGATCACAGCTTGGACGAATTTTCAGTGGCGTCTATCGAACCGATAGATGCTCGTAAATTCATCATGGCTGCGTCAAAACTCGTTATGGAGCGGAGGCAGCTTAAACATAAATTTAAAATAAGCTTACATAGTGATGGTAAGCAGTGGTGGGTAGCGAAAGCATAAGTGATGAAAAAGGCAACAGCGATAGGTAACAGTAGACAACTGTTTAGACGTATCAAGTAAACAAGTATTAAAACTCCGTCTTTTATTATTATTATTATTATTATTATTATTATTATTATTATTATTATTATTATTATTATTATTATTATTATTATTATTAATGGCTTTATTCAATATTATATTTTGGTACAATATAGAATTCTCAGCACAGGGTATTTCAACAAGTTACTTACTGAACAACGAACAAAAGGCAGTAGCGAATACATAAAGAAATATATAAAATAAAAATAAAATAAAAAAACCCAAAAGAAACTACAAACTTTTAAAATTAAAGACATGTTAAGAATGTAAGTTATTGACTAGGTTAATTCTAACAACCTGTTCGTCACAGAGTATATTTGCTAGGTAAGGTATTATAGAACTTTTATACTTTTCCTTGCGTGCAAGGATTTTAATGTAATTACTTCTCGTTCTACCAGAAGATATAGAAGGAGAAAGATAAGAGTGAAGGGGATGGCTAGTATCTGATAAAATAATACCTGCCAGGAGTTTGCATGATTTTAAATGTCTATCCACAACCATATTAATTATGACCTCGAAAGATTCACCACACGTCTTACTAACTGCCTTTAGCACTCTTCGCAATACAGCAAAGTCTTTTCTCAAAAGCCCGGGAAAGAATAATGGAGAACAGTAAAGAATAATAGGTAATATGCAAGAATTGACAAATTGTAAGAGAAAATGACGAGTAATTCCAAGAGCATGCAATCTCTTTATGTAGTAGGTCAGACGGAAAACCTTCTTTGATAACGATAAAACGTGGGAAGACCAAGACAGATCAGAGGAAAAGGTGACACCAAGATAATTGACCTTCGACACCGCGTTTATCAAAGAGGCTCCGATGGTAGTGAAACTATCTCGGAAAAAGATGGATTTATTATTGACTTTTAACCAAGTATATTGAACCGATGAGGAGAATACTTTATCGACATAGTTCAACTGGACTTTAGCCACACTTCAGATACCCACCAACCCCAAGCAACCAGAATGACAGATTGATTTAAGTCCTCCAACCTTTAGTGAGATTGAAAAGGCTATGCGCAATCTAAAGTAAGGGAGAGCATCAGGGTCTGATGGATCAACCACTAAAATTTTTACGGATGGTGGTCGAGTTTTAGTAGTTAGATTAATTGAAATCTCAACTTAAATCTAGGGAATTGATGTAATCCTATCAGACTGCTCTCGAACGCTGATCGTCCCAGTTTATACGAAAGGACGAAAGTCCTCTTGTGACAATCACAGAGGAAGCAATTTAACTAATTCAGTGTCTAAAATATTAGCCACAATAATACGTATGCCCAACCACCGGTAGGAGTGGCTAAACCAAAACAACATCATTCCATGAAGTCACTAACATTTGAACTTGACTATGTTGATAGGTATAGAGTACCTGGTTGGGGTTCGTGTGATTATCATACCCAATGATTCTAGACTTTAAATGACATGGCTCAAAATCGTCTGCAATGGTGCAGGTGCATCCATTCTTTGTCCTCCTCCAAATTCTAGATTCCTCGTATTGTTTTTTGTTTTGATCTCACTAATTTACATTTCCTAGAATCGTATCTTCAATGCCTAACCTTTCCTATTACCACTCATACTATTACTAACTCTACTTCGTAATTTTATCTGAACAATTGTATTTCCGTGCTATTGGGGTATGCCAACTTAAAACCGATGTTTATTCGTTTACGTTTTACGTTGTGACTGATTTTTTTCTTTACTTAATAAATAGTTCATTCTGTTTCATAGAAATATCGTTTCTTACTGATTTGTTTAAATGATTTAGTGTTATTAAATGTTATATTCATTCAAATAAACGAAATGTCTTTTTCACTTGATATTGTTTTACTTGAATTTTCCCATTGATGTTTTTGGACTGAAATTGATCAGTCTCTTATTGACATATGTGCATACTGTGCGTATGCCTCGATATTGCCTAAATTTACAAGCATTACCAGGACTCAGTAGCTAAGTGGATAACGCGATGGCGTTTGAAGCGAACGGTACTGAGTTCGAGTCCCAGAGTGAACATCAACTCTGAGATGCAGGTACATCCAGCTGACGAGTCCCAAACAGGACGAAACGCGCGTCCTGGATTCCACTGCCAGCCACTATCGATCTCTGCTTGAAATGTCTTTTTGTTTGCGATTTACTTGTAATAACGATAACACTAAAATTTATATCAGACAACTGTTTTAGTACTTTTAAAGGTCAAATTATATTAAACTGAATTTTTAATTCGATCACATTATGAAGTCATGGGTTTGTTTAGAATTTTTGTAAACCATCAACATAATCTCAAGTCAATTTGAGTAGGATTCACTTAAAATATACACAAAAAAATGTGACTCAAAACTGTTCATAAACTTGAACTCGATAAACAAAGGTATCTATGATTTTCTTTTTTCATATTATAGACAAATATCTATGTCCTCTGTTAACAGCTTACCTTTAATTTAATCTAATAGTTGAAAGTAGACAGTAGGTCAATGTACAATGTGAATTACAAAAACAATGATGAACATGTAAAAAAAAAATAATAAAAGTCACTTTTTGACAAATAATATTAAACTTATTTTATCTGTTAACTCAAAATATTTAATAGATGCCACTATCGAAATTTACTAAATTAGTTTCTCCTTACCATCAATGATATTATTTCAATTGCTTTGCTCTTCACTATTTTGTTATGTTAATTGAAGTGTTAGTAATTGAGAACGAAAGATATTTGCTTATATTTACTTGTCTGACTTTTATTACATCTAACCTAAAACAGATATCTGCATAAAACAATTTTAATTTTAATAGCTTATGGCAAACTGTCATCTGCTTTTGCAACGTCAAGCGGTGTTCGACAAGGCTGTCCACTTTCTCCATTTTTGTTTAACTTCATCATAGACCTACTGATGGAAATAACATTCTCGTCTGCTGAATTTTCGGGTATTGATCTTCCTCCAGGAGGTCCACTTATCGACTTAGAATACGCAGATGACATAGTCCTGTTTGGTGAAGACACTGATAAAATTCAGTCTTCTGGTAGCACTAAGCAACAATGCCAGAATGTTTGGAATGCGCTTCTCTCCCTCTAAATGCAAGTTTTTGCTTCAGGACTGGTCTGCGTTAACACCTGAACTAAGGATAGGGAGTGAAGTAGTCGAATGCGTTGACAACTTTACTTATCTTGGAAGTCTGATCAGCCCTAATGGGTTGGTGTCTGACGAAATCTCAGCACGAATTCGAAAAGCTCGTTTGGCTTTTGCCAACTTACGTCACCTATGGCGAAGGCGAGATATCCGTTTATCAATAAAAGAACGAGTATACTGCGCGGTAGTCCGTTCTGTTTTAATTTACGGCAGCGAAACATGGCCATTAAGAGTAGATGACACTCGTAAGCTACTAGTATTTGACCACAGATGCCTCAGAAATATTTCTGGCGTCTGCTGGGATCACCGGGTAAATAATAGGGAGGTTAGACGCAGGGTATTAGGGAATGATGGTAAATCAGTTGATGAGGTTGTGAATCTTCAGCGACTGAGATGGTTGGGCCGCATGTTACGTATGCCCAAACACCGATTACCACGACGTGCAATGCTAACCGGTGTTCGAGATGGTTGGAAGAAAATTAGGGGCGGCCAAACCAAAACATGGCATCAGTGCTTGAAGTCACTAACTTCTAGTCTGAGCCATGTTGGTAGATGCAGATTACTTGGTTGGGGTCCGCGTGATTGTCGTAACCAATGGTTGGAGACTCTTGGTGACATGGCTCAGAATCGATCACAATGGTGTCGGTGTATACACTCTTTGTCTTCCCTTAAACTAAGAGATTAAAATCACTTTATATCTTTCTTTCTCCGAACTAATTCTTTCTTCCTGTACTATGTCCTTATTGCAATCTTTCTTTTATATATTGCCACCTCTGAATTAACTACTTTTATGAATCCGGTGTCCATCTTGTCGTGTTATTGAGGTATGGCAACTTGGACCGATGCATAAATGTGCCTGGTCCTACGTTGTAGCTGACTGACTGACTGATATATACTTTGCTAATGATATCTGTAAATTAAATTACATATCATATTCTGGTTTTGCGTCAAGGTTTAAATATCGTAAGTTGACAGTTTATAATACTAAATTGCATAAATGGTGGAACATCGATTATAGTAATCGATAATTCCAAGAAAAATAGTATATGGTTGAAATGAACTGGGCCTATTTTTCAATTAAATAGGCTCATAGTATATTTTAATACAATTCAATATTTTGTTAAATATGGTGATATTTTAAATATTCAGAGTTGGAATTCTACTTTCTCAAATTTGATTGAATCCAAAATAATCAATAGTTTTCACCACTTCTAAATCAACATTGGGTAACCTATTGGTGACCGCAATCTTGGTATTTTGTCATGATATTGCAATTGATTTATAGCTTTTGAAAAGAGCAAGAACATACATTCTAGCAGAATGGCATAAATTCATTTTTATTTCGTTGGTTGTCATCAGCCTCTTACAACCTGTGATATTTAAAAGCATAATTACATAATGGGTTTAAAGTACTTACATGAGATGGCTTAGTTTGGAGTTATATCGAAGACATATTAGTATAGTTTAGCAAGGGTGTAAATAAATTTAATAGGCTGAATATTGTAAATATATACCTTATGTAAAAGAACAATCTACAACATTGATTTTGACAACATTTCAAACGGCTAGAAACAAGTAAACATTGATATATTTTTTTTTATTTCAACACATAGATAGTGGTACAAAGAGGCACCAAATACATGTGCGCCACACAAATCTCATTCGATATGTGTGAGGACTGTGATACTGCCCGGGTGCCCAGACCGAAGCAGGTGGTTTTCTTAGGGGGCCACATCCCGAGCCTTTGACCTAATGGTCTGATCCACAAGGCAGTGGAGCATCGTAAGGAGATGCAGTCCCATGGAAGCCAGTGACCAACAATTGGTTCATACGCCATTTGTTCCCTCAGGATACTGGAGCCCATGTGCACCATTGGTTTGGAATCCGGTTAAAGCGCCGGACATTCGCTTTTCGTCCTCTCATTTTCGTAAACAACACCCCCGCCACGAGAAGGCAGTGAGTAGGACTTCCCTGGCAGAAGCTATATACGCGTGGCCGTGTGAGAGCATTTCGAGAAGGAGAGCGGACTCTCCCCATTCTCGGCCGTACCAGGGCATTTGGGGGAATAAAATGAGTAGAGTTCAGTTGATAAAATAAGGTTAATCATTTGGAAGATAGTTGGGATAAAACCCAGTCATGTGATAAATGCAAGAAAGAGTTTAAGTAAGTAAGTAACTTAAACCCATTATGTAATTATGCTTTTAAATATCACAGGTTGTAAGAGGCTGATGACAACCAACGAAATAAAAATGAATTTATGCCATTCTGCTAGAATGTTTGTTCTTGCTCTTTTCAAAATGAAAAAGGGAACTATGTGTATGAAGATTTATAACTTATTGAGATGATTAAGGTAGCTGAATTGATAATCGAGCATCTGAACCAATTGATGACTTGTCAGGAGGCATACCCATAGACATGCTTTACTGAATATATCAAGGAATTAACACAGTTATTCGTATGCAAAATTATTCATTCAAGATATCATGATTTACAACAAATAATCAGTCAAAGATGAAGCGGAAAAACACAAAGCAACTGTTGATACTTCGTTTTTTTATTTTATCATATTCCAAAACTCATATTACCCATTGTTTCACATAATAAATCATTTTAGTGTACATATACTTAAGAACTCTTCAAAACAAGACCAGTAACTTAATTACTTCCTAAGTTGTGCAAGCTATTACTTTATTATTTTCTACTATGTTCCAATAGGATCTGTTAATGATTTGAAAGGGTGGTTAATAATAAATCATCATAAATTTGTCAAGATCTGTTTTTGTTTCATTGTTTTCTATTATTGATCAAATGGAAATTGACTGTAGTATTGAACAATGTCAGAGATTTTTCATTCTATACCTCAAATATTAATTTCACGTAGTTGAGATAAATATATTTCTCAATGAAATGATTCAAATACTTAAATTTTTTAAATTCTACTTTCAGACATTCTTATTGTCAGTCGTATTCTACAATTTTACCGAAATCCTCCGTATGTTATCCATTTATAGAAAATATTGCTAATGAATACAAAGAACCTTATTTAATTTCACGATCTCGTTTATATTCCAATGAAATCAGTAATCAAGCTGTTAAAAATCTGTTTACCAGCTGGGATGATTTATTATCATCTTCAATGCATTTATCTCAATCTAATAATTATCTCAGTGATTCTTTTAAAAGTTCAAATACATCTTTTATAAAATCAAATCATGTTGTAGATGCGATAAGTTTATCTAATAGTAGTAGCGCTGCATGGAGATGTATTAATTTGGCTAAGCATTTAACTTGTGCTACATCTTATCCTCGATGTGAAATTACTAACACTGATAGAAAATCAACATCTGTATTTGCCAATTCATATATTGAATATCCTGTTTGTTTGTAAGTTATTTATAAGTAGCTTATTGTTTAGTTAAATCTTTGTAGAAGTCTATTTTTTGTTATTGAGTTGTTATTTATAAGCTGGTTATGAATAATATACTTGTTTGTTCTTTGAATAAAATGTATTTGTGAAAAACACAGGTTTGCAAAGAAAATAAACTAGTGAACAATACCGTTTCATTGATAATAAATTAACCTCAGTAACTAGCCTCCTCAAATTTACTATGAGTGAAATGGGTTTCAAGCTTTTCACCAACTAGTTTGAAATCGTAAGGATAAATCAAATAGACTGCAATCAAAATCTAGAAAAGTGAATTATTGTATCGTAAATGTGCTCACATTTAGACTTAGTCCTTGGAGTTCTTAATTTTCAATCATATGCATATCATTACCTAATCAGCTGGCGAAGATCGTTAGTCAAACACAATATTTCGAAGTTTACACAATCCTGTGCTTGACAAACGACTCATATTACGGTCAGACTCGAATTTACTGAGATTGTGTAGTGTGTAAATTGACCTGGATGCTAATCGTTTGAAAAAGAACTGCTCAGAATTTCTCCGTTGAAGTAACTTTTTTTCTCCAGTCTATGGAATACTAGTTGAACACAACAAATAAAGATTAAAGTATTGCCCCATCAGTTATTATAAACTTCATAAACTCACATGCATTTTTAAAAATGTGACCTTAAACTAACATTGATAACAATTTCATATCCTCAGGATAAAACCAGTATACCGAGATGAAATATTGTAAATATTTCAATGAGTTTTGGTCGAGAAGATATTGCATTTATTGATGTTGCTTTGTTACAGTCGTAGCTAAATGCCCCAGGTACTTGATTCCCCAAACTTGATTTTACTGTTAACTTTCATAGGATAGACCTAAAATATCAATAATTATGATTATATGTCCATGGAAGTTCTCATTTGAATAGTATAACAGCTAAATAATAATAAACTCAGTCAGTAACAACGTAGAACTTCGTACGTCCGTACATCAGTTCGGGTTGCCACACCACATTAGCACAGAGATGCAGTGGTCGATTCAAATCCCGTAGTGCTAGATGTAAAATTATAACCTGTAATCAGAAAAATTAGGGTTTGAAGATGTTATTCGAGGAGTATAAACCAGTGAAATACATTTGGAAAGAGAAAAAAGAGAGGGACATGAAGTATTCAGAAGATTCGAATTTGGGAGAACACAAAGAGTGGATGCACCTGCGTCATTGCAAACGATTTTGAGCCATGTCATTCAGGGTCTCTAACCATCGGTTGCTGTCATCTCGCGGTCCCCAACCAGGTAGTCTACACCTACCAACATGACTCAGTCCACTTGTCAGTGACTTCATGGACTTGTGCCATGTTTTGGTTTGGCCGCCCCTAACTTTCTTCCAAACTACTCCTATACCACTGAACATAGCACGTCGAGGTAGTCGGTCGTTGGGCATACGTAACACGTGTCCCAGCCACCACAACTGATGAAGTTTCACTACGTCATCAATTGATTTGCCATCCTTACCTAGTACCCGTTTCCTAACAACTGTGTTACTTACTCGATGGTCCCATGATATACGAGCAATGTTTCGAAGACACCTATGATCAAATACTAATAACCTACGAATATCCTCTACTCTTACCGGCCATGTTTCACTGCCATAAAGTAGGACGGAACGAACTGCTGCGCAGTAAACACGTCCTTTGGTTAATAGACGGATATCTCGCCTACACCATAAATGACGCAAGTTGATAAAAGCTAGTCGAGCCTTCTGTATCCGTGCTGAGATTTCGTCACACACCAGACCACAAGGGCTGATGAGAATTCCGAGATAAGTGAAGCGATCGACATGCTCAACTACTTCACCCTTATCATTTGTTCGGGTGTCAATGCAACCCAATCCTGAAGCAACATTTTGCATTTCGAGGGAGAGAATCGCATCCCGAACATGCTTGCATTGTTGCTTAGAGTGGTCAGAAGACTGTATTTTGTCAGCGTCTTCGCCAAATAAAACTATGTCATCAGCATATTCTAAGTCAACAAGTGAACATCCCGGTAGAAGTTCAACCCGTGGAAATATAGACGAGGAGAGTGTTATCTCTAAAAGTACGTCGACGACAAAGTTGAAGAAGAATGCAGAGAGTGGACAGCCCTGACGAACACCACTTGAGGTAATCAATTCTGATGACAGTTCACCATAAGCTCTCACTCTACCAGTTGTGTTCGAGTAGAGAGCCTTTATAAGGTGAATGCACTTCTTTGGTACTCCTTTCAGTGACAAACACTGCCATAGAACCTTACGATCAACAGAGTCGAATGCCGCCTTAAGGTCGAGAAATACTAACATTGTGGGGCGTCTGAATGTGTGTCTGTGTTCTAGAACCTGAAGTAGTGTGAATATCTGATCTATACAACCACGTCCAGGTCTAAAACCAGCCTGGTTTTCTCTAATCTGCTCTTCACGAGCTTTGGTTAGGCGTCGAAGTATTATTGAAGCTAATATTTTAGACACTATATTAGTCAAACCGATTCCTCTGTGATTGTCACAAGAGGACTTTTGTCCTTTCTTATGGACTGGCACAATCAGTGATTGAGACCAGTCAGATGGAATTACGTCCAGTTCCCAAATTCTACCTAAGACTTCAGTTAATGTTACTGCTAATACTGGACCACCATTCTTAAAAATCTCAGGAGTAAACCTGTCAGGGCCTGCTGCTCTCCCTCGTTTCAGATTTCCTATGGCTTTTTCAACTTCGTAAAGGGACGGAGGACCTACATTAACTTGCCATTCAGGTTGACTAGAGATCGTGGGAAACCGAAGTGTGGCTGAAGGCCAGTTGAACTGATCCCTAAAGTGTTCTGCCCATCGATCCAATCTCCTGGATTGAGAATGAATAATATGTCCATCTTTCTCTGAGATTGTTTCGCCAACAGTCGGTTTCCTTAACGAGTCTGAACAATTGTTTGCTATTACCTATTGCCTCTGCCTTTTCCATCTCTCTTGCTTTCTCTAGCCACCACTGTTCACGATCATTGCGTAGACTTCTTGTCAGCTTGCGCTTAAGCTGACTCCGCTCCTTATTATTTTCAGAGCTTGGTGGAATGAGTTTCCGAGCATCTATCAGTGCTATAGATGCTGCTGTGACCCAGTGTTTCTCCCTAATCTTGTAGTTTACCTTACTAGCATATATCACTGCTGTTTCCCCAGCTTTTCGGATATCATTCCATGCTGCATCGGGGTGGGCATCACATACATGGCTACCTAACTGTTTTTCTAGTTGTTCCTGAAATATACTCTTAGCTTGACTATCATTAAGTAGGCCCCTTAAAGGTTTACTTGCAGCGTCTTTCCTACGTCCAGTAAGACGCAGGCAAATACGCGCTCGTACTAGAGCATGATCCGAATCTAAGCATGTGCTCCAGAATGAGCGACAGTCTTCTGTCGAGCCCCTCCATCGGTGGCTGATAGCGATGTAATCTATTTGGGTCCAACGTTGGGATGAATTAGGGGGTCGCCATGTTAAAAGATGTTTTTGCTTATGCCTAAAGTTGGTATTTGCAAGGAATAGGCGGTTATCTGAGCATAGCTGCAACAGATGGTCGTCATTATCTGTTCTTTGAGCCACGATGCTATAAGATCCACCTAGGTGTCTTTCCCTTTCGCTTAGTTTACCTACTTGAGCAATAAAGTCACCGGCCATTATTACTACATCCGAGGGCCTAGCTTTTCGGAGGAGGTCGAAGAGCTTTCTGTAAAACTCATCTTTTACATCATCTGAGCTGCAGTCAGTGGGAGAATAGGCAGAGACGACGAAAAGGCAACGACGAGTGTCCCTATCTTTCCGGATTCTTACTGTTCCGTTCAGTCGGACAGCGCACAAACGACTGTCTAATGGGATCCACTCTACGAGAGCTAGTTCTGCCCTAGGACTCAATGCTATACCTACGCCGGCGAGGCAGAATCAGGGCTTCCAGATACACGAAGCGTAAATCGAGTCGGTTCTTTATTTTGGCATGGTGAGGTCAAATAAATCACGCTACTTGGATCCTGTATGCGCGTTTCGGAGACGCAGCACACATCGATGGCGCGAGATTCTAAAGTTTTAGCTAAGGAAGCCTGCTGTCCTATTTGGCACAGTGTTCGGACGTTTAAAATTCCTACATGTAGTTTAGAGCGTGGTTTCAGGAGACTCGTATCGTTTGCCCTAACGGTGCGAGGTGATAAAGAGACGTGAGGAGGGTTAGTCATGGAGATAAGAGAGGTATTAGGAGGTGTAGGAAGGATTTGAATGTGACCAACTTGGTCTCGTGTGCTATTACGGGTATGAGGGCTGATGTCACTTCCCGGCTGCCCACACCGTGGAAGGGTATTTCTTGAGGAACCTGAAAAGGAAATTGGATTAGTGTTGGTCTTAACGACCTGGGAGCGTGACCGCAGAGCTCAAGGGACAACTGCTTGAGGCCGGTCGCGCACGGTCTTTTCGTGGAAGGTTTTTAATGTGTTAGCTCCGTTCTTCAAAGGGCCTTACCGCCGGAGACGGAAATCCGTGAGGCAAGGTGAAATGTGACACTTTTAGGGTCGATCTTTTCTAACCTCACTCTTCCTTGTGGGAAGGCAGCATCGCTGCAGATGCTGGTTGTCTGAGGGAAACACCTTACTGCTGTCACACCCCTCTACAGTCAGCAGTACGACTTCGCCCTCAGACCTTCAGTTGCTGCTTTTAGTCTTACCGTTCTCCAGTCGACCTGCCTGGCATGGTAGAACCTACAGGAACATATGTTCCAGTCAATATAGGTCAGTTGGGTCATCACGATAGGTAAGCCCGAACACCGCGTCAAGGTAGCAGCTTCGGTTGGGATAATAATAAACTAATTAAAATACATGTTCCACAAAGTGAATCAGGAACGACAACATTCCTAGAACTAGTAAATTTGAAAAAATGTCTTTACCTGTTCCTAGAGTAAAATCACTGCTAGACATATCAACAGAAATATTATAAAACTACCCACATGAAGTTTACTGAAGTATTAATGACCAATTTTCCAATTCTAACTTCTATCTCAAATCTAAAGTTAGGCTCTATACTTAGTACGGGACAGATGAAGATTAAATTAGTTAAACCAGACAACAACACTGCAGGGTTTAGCAACAAATATATTGTCGACTTAAAATATTGTTAGAAAAAGTGTTAATTTGTCCAATCTACGGTTTATATAGAGTTACATTGTTACTGACGAAGTGTTTACTTTTACAATTTATACGTTGTCATCTGAGAATTTAAAATTCCGCATACCAATCGTAAATACTTTTAGAGTACTCTAAGTATTTAGCATGAACGTACTTTAAACTGAAGGAGTTTATTTAACCATTATATGGTAAATTTTTAAGCTATACGTTGTTAAGTTTGTTTAGTTCTTGCAATAGCTGTACGGTAATTGCGTGTAATAGTTACTTTAAAAAAGTCTGAAACAATTATTTGTGAACGATTGTGACCTTTGATATGATCTATTTAGATAAAGCTATGACAAAATAAACAGTTTAACCATTCGTGTTTTCATTTCGTTTATTTTCTCTCGACTCTGTTTACCTTGCACATGTTGGTTTTTACTGTTAGTTTCTCCTTTTTTTACTGGACGGAATGCTGTGTTTTTGTAATTTCTCTGTGGCGCTATAGTTAAATAGTTGATACGGTTCAATTTCAATTTATTGGCTCTTGTCGATTTTCATCTCAGATTAAGTTAATTCCTCTCTTGCTTCTCATCTCGTGTTGATATTATACCTGCTTGAATAGATAAAGCTTCCTAAACATATCCTACGTTGATGACGACCGACTGACTGGAACAGTTTCTATTTTGTTTGTTGTTCTAAAAATAATAGCTATATTCTCAGGTCTGGCATAGAAAACCTTTCTATATTTTACACTGTAAGGGATTTTCAACTGATTATTTGGTTTTAAAACTTATTAGGGCAAATGAATTTATCGTTGAATTACCTCCCCTCAAATAACTTTTCATTGTTCACAGAAAAGACCTAATTTACTAACATAAAGGAAATTTCTAACGATTTGTCCACCTACTAACAAGTAGTTTGTTACTTGCCCCGCCTTCCCATTAGTGAATTCATTAAATATCGTGTAAAGAATTGATTTTGTCTCATTAAGAACCTATTTCGTTTCAACACACACCGCTAGCTGAGGAACACGTAGTCGTTGGAAGTGACAAGTCCAGTATATTTTTTCAACTTGAATTTTTGTTTTAAAGAGCTATCTGTAGATTGTTTATAGTTTCTATTTTGTGCCGTAATTTAGTAAACATATATTCTATCGTCTTCGTAAAACAGGAAACACTGTCTCGCTGTTACAGGCCTATTTTGCTTCTCCTCGTTAAAAATCTTGAATAATTCAGCCTTGGATAGACTTCTCGACATTCATCGGAATGAATCTTTAATGAATTCTGATTTTGTAAAAACGGGTTGGTCAGAACTGATCAATGTGCCGGAAGCCAAAAATCAAAGTCTTCCACTGAGTTTCTCCGATCCATTAGCCAGTGGGACATCAAATCCCTTTTACATTTGTTCATCAACTAAAAGTGATATTATGTCTTTTGAACCGTCTAAAAAGTCTATTTGCACTCGTTTACCTATTGATAACGAAAATCCAACAAATTCCATTGAAGAAAGTAAGAAAACTCCTGATGAACAAAATGGTAAGTTTTTGTCACTTTACTAAATTTTCAACAAGTTTTTGCATGTTAGGTCAATCGCCTTGGAAAGAAACTTTTCAATGTACTATAATATGTTGAATTTTTAGAGTCTACTGAAATAAATAGTATTTCTTTCGTTTATTGATAATATTTGTATCTGTTTTATTAACAATAAGTAAATGTTGACCAGATTATGGTTTTCCTCTTAGATCATTGTTTATTGTGTCCGATTTTCCATTATAATTGTGACGTAGGGAAGTGAATAAGATTTCTTAAGTAACGTATTGATATAAGAAATATATCATTAGCTCATTTGATGTGGAACGGTGACTTAATGCTAAAGGCGCTCAACTTTCAGCCACTAAACCCGAGGTTCGAACCTCACTCCACCTACTTCGTTTTTGGCAACCGGATAGTATTATTACCCCTCACACTTAGAGCCTAGGTCACACCCAGGCACCCGGTGGTTGAGTTAAAAAGTTTAATTCATTAAATAACTGCCCATTTTCTATAGTGAAACAATGTATCTCATTTGTTCTGTTTGAATTATATTTCCCGTGATCAGTTTTGCATTTTACTGATTTTGATTCTAATCCTCTCGATTTCTGTATCCGTCGTGTTAACGTGAGGTGTGGCTCTCATATATTTGTAGAATTCATACAGGACATACCAAAGTACAATATCTTTATGAATAATCTACAAGTGAACATCCGATATGCTCTGCCTAATAAAACGATGTAATTTCAATACCGAAACAGTGAAGATACTTTTTACCGTAGGCTTTATTGTTTTGTAGGTTGCGCGTTTGATCTGGATCAGTTATTGTTGTTTTGATGCGTTCTATTTTCCAAGGAGAGCGCGAATTTTTTTTGAATATATTTAACAACAAGCCTTAATCAGGTTTTAACCTCTTGAGTGTTATTTTTATGTTTTAATTACGGAAATGCTTTTGTCATACTTTCTATAAAATTTTCCACGATCTTTACTTAACATACCTCATTATTTATCAGGTATTTTCAGTTTTGCTTTTACTGTTTGACTATGAGCTATTTTCATATCTCCGTTCTCTTGTTAATAATTTGATATTTTACTACATGATATAGATTGTCGAAGTGTTCATTAACAAGATTGCTTTTCAATCCAACATCTCTTTCTTTTGTTGTTACCGGTATTGTTGATAAGTGATCGGGAAAAACTATAAATTTTACTAATTATCTGAAAAAGAAACAACTAATGCTTTTATTTACCGCTTGTTGACAGATCACTATTTATTTCGATGACTAGTGTGTGATATACACTATTACAACACTGCATTGTTTTAGCTATAATCACTTTTTACAAATGTATTTTAACTAATATTGTTCTTTCTAATAGATCATTATTGATAATAAACGTTGTGCACTCGTATATAGTTGTTTATTTATTATATACTTGAATATTTAACGGAATTTAACTTTTTAATCGCTTGAGATAATTTAATAGATATTTATGTAGCTTATTGATACTATGAAGTAGTCACATGAATTCGACAGTTTACGTGCATTGACTGATTCTTTACTGAAATGAATGACTTGGTTTTTCTATCTATCTAAAAATCATTGAATATTGGCTAAGCTTACTGTATAACTGGAATTGGCATGATTATGTTAAGAACTGTCAAAAGCTTTAGTACCAATCTTATCTAACGCTAATTAATGTAACACACTGTGTTAGTAAATAACATCAAAGAAAATTTTCTTTTCAATGAAATCATTTCATGTAACTGTATATTCGTGCTTCTAGTTATTTGATAAATATATGAGTCTATAAAATAATAGAAAGAAATTACATGATGAAAGTGATCCGACATCTGTAATAACAAAATAAAGTTGTGTAACGATCGAGGGGTTGGAAAAGAATGAGATGAGGAAAATAATTGACATATTAGGAATACGTGAGTTAACTGTTCATTTAACAGATATGAAGAAATGAGAAACAAATGTGAAGAACATTAATAACAACTGAATAATAATCAAGAGCAATTGTTAGCGAATAATAATAACATCAATTAATTCATGATCTCAACCAAAAACTTAACAATCTCCACAACCCCCATACTGATAATTAACATGTGCTCACTAGTGACTAGCTTCGTGAGGGAATTCTCGGAGTTCTAGTGAGAAGTAGTGACCAGTGGAGCTAATCCGTGTCGGGTAGAGACAGGTATCTACCTCAGTACAATGGAAGTCGGTCGCGCAATTTCGTGGATTGGTTGATGTTAGACACTAACACCATTGGATGCCGGCTCGGTGGTCTAATGGTTAAGTGCTCAGGCGCGAAGCCAGTAGGTCCTGGGTTCGAATCACGCGGGGTGCGGGATCGTGGATGCGCACTGCTGAGGAGTCCCATACTGGGACGAAACGGCCGTCCAGTGCTTCCAGGTTTCCAACGGTGGTCTAACATCAATTAATTCATGATCTCAACCAAAAACTTAACAATCTCCACAACCCCCATACTGAGAATAATTATAATAACTGATTACGGTTTAAAAGTACAAAATAAGAATGTAAAGAAAAACAAGACTTGGACTTCACTGGAGAGAGGGATTGGGCACATGGAAGGACGAGAGGTCCCTCGTGGAGTTCAGGCTTGAGTTTTTAAATTGTCAACACCTTAGTAGTGCACAAGTGGTTACTGTCATTCTTCCGTTTTTCAGTAACCTCTTGATTACTATGCAAACTTCTCTAAACATTTCAAATGTAGGATCACTTTGTCATGTAATCTCTTTCTATTCTTCTATAGACTCATATATTTATCGAACAATTATAAACACAAATGTACTACTTACTCAAATTATTCCGTTAAAAAGGTCTCCAGTTTCTCATTTTTAATTTAATTCCTTACTTGTCACCGACAACAGAATCTCAGAATAAGAAAAATATGTATGAAAAGTGGCAGTAACTTGATTAGTTAATACTTTTTCAACAGTAATAGTATAGAGATTCAAATGGTTACTTAGCTATGATCTTTTGGTTCTATTTCTGTTCCTTTATCCGGACGGATTAGTAAGATATTCCCGTTCATTCTAATGCATTATAACTGATGAGTGCTTTTTTGGGTAAATTGATTTTCCAGCCTTGTTTTCATAAACTTAAAAACGCCGTCAAATTAGAATGTTATAATTCTAAAGAAAACTTCGATAATGCAATGAGAAGACGAAGTTTATCAGAATTATGTGATATATTTGCGCAATACATTTCGAAAGAAAACGTTAAACAGATCATGCTTTTCACTAATAAGATTTTCAAATTTAATTTGTGTAGGTTGGAAACTATCCTTCGCAGAATAATCACAATATTTTTAATCCGTAGATAGAGCTTGGATCTTATGGACGTGAATATTACTCTTGGAATGATCGTGTATATGTTTTTTTTTCGGTCGTTCAGCGAATATGTTCTGACTGGCGGCTGCTTGTAGAGGATTTTCAAGTTTAGTCACATCTTGAGATGTAGATTTGGTCGTATTGGAAATCTAATTTTCAATATAAATTAGTAGTTCGGTTAGAAGTTCGATCCAGCACATAAAATCTATGATTTTCCTTTTTAGTTAATTCTTTCACCTGTACCTGTATTATATCTGTAGGGTTTAAGATATACTGTTTTGGAGTTTAAAGTATTTTATTTAAGTCAATGCACTTAATGAACAGCTTTGGATATAAACTTGTTGTGAAGAAGTTTTTGAAATAATTGGTATAATTTCTGAAGTTTATTATTTATTATGACCACAATGTCGTTGAGTTAGGTATTTTGGTATGTATAGTTTTAATGTTATATATCCGTTCTCCTTACACAATGTAAATGAATGTTAACGAAAATTATTGATATCATACTTTGATTACTTTTATTTATATACTAATTTTGTTGTTTTCGAGCTAGTTGAATATTCAGTTTTGTCATTTTTATAATAAAAAAGTTCTTGTGTAATACATCTTCAAAGCACCTGTATATTATTTGTTTTATTTAGTTGACTGCATCAACGGCAAAGGGGAAAATTACAGAGGTTTAGCTACTATGCCAGAATGTAAACCATGGACTAAGCTGTTTGTTCTCGATGATAATATTCAGAATCTACAACCCGGTATTTGGCCTGGTTTTTACAGTTTAAACAGTTTTACTTTCCCTAGAAGTTTAGGTCTTGAAGCCAGTTCGTCAGCCGTGTGTCGCAATCCGTCTGGTTTGGCATCAAGACCATTCTGTTTAAGTCGAAAAGGCAACAAAGAAAATTTTCCAGATGTATCTATGAAGTCAAAGCCTAATCACTTGGAAGAATGGTATTTAACTTCTTGTTATCAAATTCCTCAGTGTTCAGAGACCAGTAACAACAGTGATTATCATCATAACTGGACCATTGGTGATGTATCGCTTAGTGGTCTAGAAACAACAGAAGCTCAGCTACAGGTATGTTTAATGGTAGCATTTGAAGTGTCTTTTTTATTATTAACAGTTAAATACAATGTATATTCATTCATGTGGCTTTGTTAATAAATGATACGACAAATCACAATTTATTACGTTGTTTTAGTTTATTAAGAAATTTATTTATCTTTTTTCATTGGATTTCATCATTTGTATGATTATGTTAGAGAACTTTTCCCTAGATAAGGATTGTTTGTTTTCTCGTTAATAAAAGATGAACTGTCACAATATCATTGTAATTGATTTGGAAACATTGTAAGATGAAAATTGCTATGTCGTCGAATAAATCTTTCTTAACAAAAATAAAGGTTAATAAGATCTTTTCTATTGGTGCGCATTTCTCTTATTGTGTGTCTTGTCAATAATCAGTGTGGAGTTGTGGAGATTAAGTTTTTGATTGAGATCATGAATCGATTAATGTTATACCACCATTAAGAACCTGGAAGGACTGGACGGCCCTTTCGTTCTAGTATGGGATTCCTAAGCAGTGTGCATCCACGATCCCACACACGGGACTCGAACCCAGGACCTCCCGTCTCGCGCTCAAACGTTTAACCTCTAGACCAATGAGACGGCATCCGACGGTGGTCATGTCTAACTTCAATCAATCCACTAGCCAATCTATGTTAAAGACAGGCATCTACCTCAGACAATAGTAGATGGTCGCGAAATCGCTATATCGTCATCTATTTTAATCAGTCTTCTTTTTTTCACAAATTGATCAGTTCTTTATCAGTTTGAACAACGTGAGCATTAAACGTTATTGACAAAACTAGTTTGTTTTTACTTCACTGATTTTGTTATCAAAAAACAGGATAACGAACAACCTTAACTAAATATCAAAGTAAATTTTAAGGTATAACATTCACTTTTCAAAAAAAGAATCCACTAAAGTGGAAAACTATCCAAAAAAATGTAGAAACAATATGTTCTAATCATCTCAAATGCGAATATTATAAGGCAGAGAAAAAAATCTTTTCAGATTAGCAGTAAACGGTTAAATTGATAATGAAACATTTAATTAATTGTACAAAAAGTCTGTTATTAAAAGTTTACCGTTTTGCTTCCGGTCTCAATATAAGCTTTCTATTCATTTCGTTATAACAGATATAGTAAATAATAAATACAGATATTGAAGTTTGTGTCTTAAGTAAATAAAAGTCGTTTAGTTGATAGATACTGTAAATTGAACCTTCAAAATGTTCCATTTTCGTTATTCACTAAACTTGATGTGTATTTCTTTACGAAACGAAATTTATTTAAATAACTTGTGTTTGTAAATGTGGACTTCTTGATGGAAGAGCTTGTGTCACAGTGGAAATCAATGTATTTATTCCTTACCTTTCAACAGATGTGAGGGACTTAGTATCATTACATTTCGGATTCCTCATTATTCTAACTGTAATCTATATGCTTATTATTAGTATTATATATATATATATATATATATATATATATATATTTAAAGTACATGTAATGTATTTATTGTTCTCACTCTTAACATTGTTGTTACCATTCAATATTAATAAGGAAAGTAATGTTCTGAATATTAACCATTTTTATCAATAAATTTACTACATAAGCATCAATATATATACGTCAATATATGTGTTTTACATTCGTATTCGTCTTAAAATTGTATCGATTATTACTTTAAATATCGGAGGTCTTTCTTGTAATTTGCACAGAACAGTTAAATTGTCTGACTGGCTGTGTGCTACATGTACCTGCATTTATATTCATAGACATATCCATAACTTAGTGCTCTGATATGTATGTCTTTCGTTCTCTCTATGTACCTTGTTCTCTATTATTCTGGTAATCTTTACTCTAGAAGTTTACTAATTTATATATATATATATATATATATATATATATATATATATATATATATGCGTGACACGTTTCGTTGATTATTACCTGTAATTATGTTTTTTAACAGATAGTTTCATGTCATGAATTAAGTTTTTTCAGTAAAAATTCAGTAGTATTCTACTATATTATTATACTACAATGGAATTGTTTTGTAGATTGTAGGTATTATGAAATAAGCCCTACATATGTTGGCTCTAAGTGTAATAGATAAGTAAAACGAAAACACTCTACCAACATATATATCATCAAATCATTGAAAGATCTAAATATCCACATGAAATATTCAATTTACTTTGAATTTCAACTAGCTGAAAGTAAAATCATATCTAGTGGTTCTTACCCCATCACCAAATTAAGTAGATATTTTTGTTTAGTTTGTTGTGGTTGGTATTCCCGTACTTCATTTTCATAGTAAAATGACATACATATCTATTATTCTATCAGTAGGTTTTGATCCTCTTATCTACATCAAAGTAACCGAAGCATAGAAGTTAAAAAAACTGATATGAAATGTTTAATCTTGGAAAATCCAACATTTTGTGTGATACATTCATGATTTTTTTTCATATCACCATTTACGTGGCCATTGTTATTACTTAAAAGTGAATTAATTAAATTTATGAATAAATAACTGAATTTTAACCCAGTAATAGTTAGTGATATTTAGTATTGCGTTTATTTTGTGACGTGTACATGGAGTTACTAAAAAATACCAAATCTTATTTAAAAAAATACTTAAAATGATCACTATTTTAAAAATCATCAGGTATGCTCACTGCCACCTCAGTGTTCACAAATATGTTGACAACAGAAAATGATTTGTAGTTAATTCAAGATGAATTTTAACAGTTTGTTGAGGAAAATATAATGAAACATACTTTAGTTCTATATTACACAAAATTTAGCGGGCAAGACCGAAATTTTATGTGCCTTTTTAAAATTCTATTATTGTTATATTAATGTAAAAGCGTTACTAGTGTATTTGATTAAAAAAATCCTGTTCTTATATCTTAACATTGTCAAATCATAATGTTCTGAAAGTTTATCACAACGAAAATTGTTACTGAAATAATTTTTTTGTATACTGTTTTGACATAAATAAGTTAATATCTGTGTGCTTTAATTTTAATTGTAACATAAATTTTATTTGACAAACTATTTAGACAATTATCGCTTGTTCAATTGTTGGACTGGTTATTTGTTTAATAATCATCGGTTGTATAATTTGGCTCATAAATCGTTGTTCTAGAAAAAATATTGAAAATTCGGATATACACTTTTCTCAATTAGATTTTGACAAGCCTCAAATTACAGGAGATGTAAATAGTGTTAACGAAGAAAATGATGGAAAGAGACAATTTTCTGAGCATCTCTATGATTCTACAGAAATTAACAAAGAAAAATATTTGGAGCGACGTAGAAAATTATTAACTCGTCGACGTAGACTTAGACAACTTAATCCATGTTCCAAATGTATTCTTGGAGCATATTATCGTATTGTTGACTTCACACATTCATCTCATACAGCTAGTCAATCTCATTCAGTTTTTGCTGTTACACAATATACTGAAGATAAAAACACGCCTTCAGCATCTAATCAAAATGTTATGACTAATGTATGCCATGGTCGTTATTTATCATCTTTTTGCCCATGTTTCTGTTTATCTAATTTTCGCAAGAAATCGAAACACGATTCTCTCAAAATGATTCAATTTGTACATAGTTGTCCTGTAACTAAAAATGAATTGATTGATGAAGAGTTTGAGGCTAGTACATTGGGAATGCGAATGGATAAGTCAGTAGTTTATGTGACCAATGTGCCTACAATTATCTCACCTCCTAAAACAATCGATTCTTCACCAAATACTTGTGTGATCTGTGGAGTTGCTAGCAACCTTTTATCAGATACATGTTCATCTTGTCGTTGTTCTCAAAATAAACAAACTGGTGTTCCGTCTGCAGTAACTACAGATCATCCTATTAGTGGTAACCCTTGCTCAGATAATCACGTGTTGATTGATGACCATGAGGTTGATTCAGAGTTTTCTCCAACTACTCTTGGCTTGATTGAATCATCCTATTATTCACTATCATCTGGGTCTGCTGAATTAGGTTCTTCCATATTACCGGAAAAGTTATTTAATGTGGCCTCGATGAATCACTTGCTACATCCAAAGTAAGTGTTGATTGCTTAACATAATATATTCATTTACAGATTGAGAAACCTTTATGTCTACTTAGTTTCTTATTTATATATACTCATAATGTAATATTATATAAAGAATGTGATCACATTCTTTTATGGTTTGTCAACAAAGTAATCTGATCATATTGTGGTAGAATAAATACTTCAATTGCCTAATGATAGATTAGTCCTTGCTCTGTAATTGGATTCTAATTGCTAAAAAAGGAGACTTAACTGTCTGTTACTGAAATCCATCATATCAAACTTTTCAAGTAGAATATGCTTACATTTTTCCTCAGTAATCAATGTTTAAATTAATAACATAAATTCCAGTTATTTTAAAATCTCTGTTCCAGATTTAAATCACTGTGCTATCCTCGCAATCGTCTGGTTGAAATATGTTGTTTAGCTAAACGTGCATTTGGTTGGATCATCTTAGTACATGCTCCAAATTTGAATAAACTAGTCCATAGAAGACGTTTGTTAAGTTTAACAACTTCAGAAAGACTGGGTCTTGTCTCTTCTAGTTCACAAGAAAAAGAAAATACTATTGACGGTATAGAATTTTTAAAAATTCTTTTTAAATGTTTTTGATTTATAACTGCTTTTATGTTAATAAAAAGTGTCTCAGTAATTATCCGATCGATTTGATTACTGCACATTTTACTTGGTTTAAACACGTATTAGGGAAACTAATAATGGTATGAATTATTGGCTAAATTGTCGATACATTTGACTGATAACTATTAGATCCTCGACATAGTCCACATTTATCTGTTGCGTTTTAGGCAGCTGTTATTCATGTAGACCTCTCCCTCACGCACAAAATTTATGCCTCAAAGGTAGTACATAAACCTATACTCATTAAACGAAATGACGTTTGAAATTTATAGTTCCATCATACCTAACCAATTAGATAAATTTTAAATCCAACTTTTGGCCAACCAACCTTTATCAGTTATCGAACATGTGATCCTGATGTGAATAATGGACATTTGCTGTTTCGTCATAGTTTATTTAGAAATTAATCTCTCTGTACTGTAGATTAACAACATTGTTTTCTTTAAAAAATGTAATACGAGTTATTTTTACCTAACCATAACTAGCCTGTTATCAGAAAAGTCTAAAATCATTGCATAGTCTATTTCTCAATTGTAATTGTTAAGTATTCTATAAGTAAATGGAAGCAACTTTTAGTTTCTATAAAATATACAAATCATATTCTGTTATTAAGGCCGTAGTTGTTTCGAAATTTTTGTAAACAAAAAAAATATCTACCGTCCGTTGTTCATTAGCTTAGCTGGTATATCTTTCGTCAAATTACACTAGTATCACGAACGTTCTCAGTAATGAAGTAGTATTAGTGCCAGGAGTTGTACAATTCTCAACTGTTTCATCATTAAAACATATACAACTGACCTTTGGTAGTTCACATTATGACCATCAATACTGTTTACCATTTAAAACGTGGATTTACGATTTTGTTCGTAAGAGATACGTCATTCCCAATATGTAATAGCAAATTCATTTGTGAGAAGGTTATGTTCTTCATTAGGTCTCTTAAATTGCCATCATGAATGACTTTTAGCTACAACTCAGATGGCTCATCTAAATTTAGATTATCGTTTGCACTAACTTTCTGGAATGATTTTCAACGGAATTTTCCTATCAGTTACCTGTCATGAAGCCTTGGCATAAATAAATACTCTCTAGGTCTGGTATCCGTTGGTACATCACGACTCCTCGACCGGAGTCCTGAAGATGTTACTACTCAGTGGCTTAAGAAATTTTCATACATGGTTCGGAATTGAAACCACTGGGGATCTTGTCGTAGTTTTCTTTTAAATTCTTCATAAAATTAAGAGCAACCTAAAATAAGCCTCTCTTGGTTGTGTTTTTAATCAAAATGTATGTCTTATAATATACTATTTTTGTTCACTTTATCGTTTTTTGATTGTACTCCTCTTTTCTCCCTTGCTTGTTCACAATAATATCTTTTTATTTTGTGTGAAGCATATTTATTTTAGTTCCCCTTTTTACAGGGATTTACGTATACATTTTATATTAAAACCAGCACTTTTCTATCCTATTTCAATAATCATTAAATGATATTTGCTTGTTTTTTGAATTTCAGTGAAAATTTTGCATTGTTTTCTTGTCTTATTCACTTTATTGTCTCTACCTAAATGCAAAATATTGTCTCAATTTAACACCTAATTTCATGTTAGAAAATCAAATAAATTAGCTAGCATACCCTGAAAATAAGATATATATGTATGTAAATGGATTTATGACACTTTCATTTAAAAAAATCTATTCAACATTTTTAGAAAGTTACCTTACTTTCTAGGTGTTCTTTTTTTCACAAGTTGATAGTATTTGACCATAGTGATTGATTTTATTATCATATCGTTTATTACCTCTTGTATGAACATGTTCGCTGTACATTATAAGTAATATATTACCTACTAGGAATTGATATATATTAGTCACCTTTATAGTGCTTACATTTATTTTTTCTTAGCCTTTTGAATGAATCCTCACTATAAACAACTGATTTACATGATATTACAGTTATCAATTAAGAGATATAATATTGAAGTAACTCGGACTATTCACTTAAGATGCTTCTTTCCTTCCTTTCTGCTTTCATTTTTATGTTATCTTCAGCGAAAATTAGAAAAGAGATTATGTTCATAAAAGTCTCGGAGATTGAAACCAAAAATAACTTTAACATTTCACTTGGGAGTCTGGTCTAAGCGTCTGCAGGGAAATATTCAAACATTAAAATTATCGAATATAGATAGCGTTCACAAAATATGTGTACTAAACATATTCAATCATGTTAAGATATTTAAAAATCTCGGGCTAGACTGCTGAGCAATACATTACAGTTGCTTTTAATTCCAATCGTTTGAGGTTTTACAAGTAAAATTTCCTTTTTACTGTCTCCTATATATTCGGGACCCGACTATTTTGAAACTGTTCGTTTAAATTTTGACAAAAGTCTTTGCTGACCTTAAATGTTCCTGGATCAATAGAATGATACCTAAAGGACATAACTTTCAGTCATCAGAGTTGAAGATTTGAGTTTTTCAACGTCAAGATTATTATCACATGATGCTCTCACAAACGTCGTTAAGTTGAATGTTGGATAAGCAAACTTGTACTTGTTGGATGAATTATCATAAAACAGCGTCAATGTTTTCAATTTACACGTTTTATCATTGTAGATGTATTTTTGAGCACAAAAAGAAAGTCTCTTTTTTTTAGGTAATATGTATTTTCTAAATGTAAACTTAATGTAATTTTATTGTATTTGATGGGTGTATAACCCTAGTCTTGTATACATCATACTTTTTATAAAGTTTAAATGAATTCATTTTCCTGGGACCTGGATACGAGCCACACTCTAAGTGCGAAGGCTAACGATAATACGTAGTTACTTAATTTATAGCAGGTGTAGCGGGGTTTGAACCTGTGAATTAATAATTAAATTCAAATACTTTAACCACTAAGCCACTACACATATACTCTGGGATTTCGATCAAATCGATCTGTTAGAATTTTTTTGTTTTTCATTAAAGGTCAACCTAATGAAATAAAAGTGTGTAGTTGTTAGCCTTCATTTTTTATTTAAAGAGAACTTTTCAACTCAATGCAAAATGTAGTCTTTTACTCATCTTTGAAGTAAAATATCAGTCTTATAACAATGTTTTATTTGATATCATTATATCTAACAATAATGAATATTGTATACTCACTAGGTTAATAACACTTGAAATAATTTTCTTCCGTAAATTCGATTATTAAATCTTTGTGATAGTCAGAGTTTTAACGATTACATACTTGTAGACCTTATCTTTTAATATATATATAATCTTTTAAATTTTACTTCTAGTCCAGTCATCTTCCGATGAATCAAATAATTGTATTGCTGTACTGAAAATGATTCAAGGAGGTTCTAATCTGAAGGCGGAAGCCAATTTCCTTCGTGAAGCTGAAATATTGGTTGAATTACAGCATAGAAATATTATACAATTGTTAGGTATTGTAAAACTGTTCTATCCAATCCACCTTTATATTTGATAATAGATCTTGTAACTTTTTTCAATTTTTCATTTGATTATTATTGGACTGTTTCACTTTTTAATCGTTGCTTATTTTTTTCAGTTTACTAACTTTCTAGGTTGAACTGAAGAGTTAATTAGGCACAGAATCACAATACATTATTTTGTGAATATATTACCCCCAAATGCCCTGGTACGGTCGAGGGTGGGGACAGTTAGCTCTCCCTCTCGAAATGTTCTCGCATGGCAACGCGTATACAGCCACTGCCAGGGAAGTCCTACTCAGTGCCTTCTCGCAGCGCAAGTGCTGTTTACGGGATTGAGAGGACTGCATCTCCTGACGTTGCTCCACTGCCTTGTGAATCAGACCTTCAGGTCCAATGTCCTGGGAGTGACCACCTAAAAAACCATCTGCTTCTGTCTGGGCACCCAGGCAATATCACAGCCCACACAAAAACCAAGTGACTTGTATTCGGTGCCCATTTGTGCCAATATCTATGTGTTCAAATAAATAAAACAACTAATGAGTACTTTAATTAATTCACTGTTAATTAACCAGATTCATTTCGTCAATCAAATCCAATTAATTTGGCACAAATGTATGCTCATTTTTATCCTAGATTAATTTTATTAAATAAGTTTTTTTAATTTCGTGTGTTTGTGTCAGTTTTAATCCATATTCATTTACTTGTAATTTGGTTTTAGGTGTTTGTATTCCACTGGAACCACTTTCACTCCTTATTGAATATATGCCTTTTGGTGATTTTTATTCATTTTTACGCCGATACACCGGTGAATCACCAGGATACAGTAAGTATATTTCTTACTTATTTCCCATTGTAGATTCTCTTGTAGGCGCAGTCAACGGGGAAATAGTAAATTCATATAGTCAAACCTTGTTACAGACTACAACGGTTCCTAAAAAGGATTTCATTAATGAATATCCTACCAATTTGAATGTCAAAATCCTCACTGAAATGGTGATTGATGCTTGTGAAGCTATGGTTTATTTAAGCGAATTGCATTATGTACATAGGTGAGTCTACTCTCATATGATGATAATTAGAATTCAGTTAAGCGTTAAATTACTTGTTAAAAGTTTATCGATTATAATTTGAAAGCTTCGTTAATTAGACTACGAAACTATTATCACTGAAGATAAAATCTCAGCGTGAGCAATACCGTATGATATTTTGTTTCGTTGTCATAATAAGCTTCATTTTTGACTCAGGATTGCTAAAACTTTCAATGTAGTAAAATAACTGTTGGTGCTGTGCGGTGAAACTTATCTTTACTTAAAAGGTGGTAACATCTTCGTTCACCCAAGCCATCGTTGATAGATAAACATTCTACTTTATTTTTTGTTAATCAATTATAGTACATGTTATATCGCATTGTTAATATGATAATCACTTTAAACAAAACAAACGGAAAGTTTTACATAAGATTAATCATGATTCTCATAGATTTCGTTTAAAAAAATATAATAGAAGGTTCGTTTTTCCTTATCATTACCATGTGTTCCTTTCGATTTTTTCATTTTATACAAATCTTGTCAAATCAGATAATAATTAGGTTCTATATATCAAGTTTTTTAGAGTGAATTTTACCTTAGATCAGAGAAAAAATGGTATTCATTACTCCTCAAATTCCTTTGGGGTTAGTATCACGTAAGTGCATATTTTATTTTATAATTTAAGATCTTGACGATGAATACTGGGAAAAAAAGTTAACAAATACTTGTTAGTCTATGAAAAGCTTGGAGACAGTTAACTTTGTAACTTTTTAAAAGATTGTAATGTTAACTATCCGGTGATAGAGTGTCTTTTCTAAATCTACATTCATATTGTTTTCCCATTGAATTCTAGTATGTTGTGCTATCTATCACATGTGTGCAATGTGAATGATTTTATTATGAGGTATAATAATAGTATACAGCTGTTTTACCCCTGATATATATACTCTGTTATTCACCAATTCGCCACAGTTGTTCTGATGGTTTGGTTATCTCAACCAGACTTTTAAGTCTCAGACTTAACCCTTGGCACGATCACGGATGCACACTCCTGAAGAATCCCATACTAGGATGAAGCAGTTGTCTAGCACTTCCTGGTTTGTAGTAATTATATAAATGAGATCAGTCTGTAACGAATACAATCTACAGACTACAAGTAATTAAGTAATGATACTTAATAAATGACCAATTTCACAAAAAGAGATTTGATTGGTAATCAGTGGAAAAAGTGTGAACTTTTGTAAAATATAAACTGGTCACATTTTTTGTCGAGGTCATTGAGATGAACGTTTGACTGGAATAAAACCATTAGTTCGTAAAACATCAACAACAAAAAAGTGAGAGATACAAAATAATAGGATGAATTGTTACGTAAATGTAACTGAAGGAATTTGTGTATAACAAAGGTCAAAACCTAGACAGATATTTTGGATGAATAAAATTACTGATTTGTCTAATCTATAATTTTAAATAAAAATGTTCCTTTAGATGGTTTGTGGACAACTAATTGGTTTAAAGGTAAATGCTGTTATAATCGAATATAACTAGTTACATATAAATTACAACTCTGCTAAAGTAGTAACATACGACAATAAATAAGGAAATAATAACAGATATGAAACAGTACGATATGCAAGAATTAGGAATGCTGCTAAATGACTTCATTTATGCTATTGGTCTTAAACAACGTTGAACCTGTAAAGTATACATGCATTAGTTCAAGTTACCATACAAAAGCTGCGTAGCAGGATAAAATTATTAATAGTAAAGCTAGTAACAGTATCAATGGTAATAGAGAACATTGGGCATTGACAACATAACTTGAGAAGGAAGATTGGATTTGCGGAAATAAAAAGTGCAAAAATGTTTTTTTAAAGTTTAAAATCTAAAGGGAGATACAGAGTGGATGAATCTGCGTCATTCAGATAGGTTATGAGGTATACCGTTCAATATTTCCAACCGCTGCTCTCGAGAACCTGAAACAGCTAGGCAGCACCTACCTGCACGACATAGTCCAACAACTAATAACTTCATGACCTGATACCACTCGTTGGCTTCCTCTCAACGTACACCAGCTAACATTGCGTGCCGCGGTAGGTAGTGGTTCGGCTTGCGTAATCAATTTCCAAATCGCTTCACCTGATCCAAGATTCACTACCTCATCGATCGATTTGTCATTTTTACTCAATCGCAACTTAATAGGATTTATATCGTTGACGTCATCAACGAATAGTTTTGATTTCTTCGAATATCCGATGAGGGTGATGTCTCGATATGGGTAATATTTGATCCCAAACAGCACTTGAACGTTATTCAATATAAATAATTCAATCAGTACTACAGTTTAGCTGATTAACAAATATTCCCATTCATTAATAAACATTCGAATAAGTGTTTTTAGGCACAATTCTTGTTTTTCTTAAAACGACTGACCAACTCATTGTCTAAAAAACAAATAACTAAAGTTATTTACAAAGATTTTTGTTTGGAGGGGAGTAGCCGTAGGAAATTGTACGTTCTGCCGTGTAGTTTTACAAGAAACCTCTCGCTTGCAATGTACCGATATTTCTTTCTTTTTTCCATCTGAACTCCTTCTGGTATCATTTACGCTGTTTACCTGTAAACTTATGCCAATCCTTATTATTTATCACTCACCTTTTCTTTTTTCAATATTTGAAACTATATTGAAGTTTTAGGCGTTTCATTAAACGGGTTTAATCTATCTTTCCTAATGATATAAATCTACATAAAAAAAGCTAGTAGAAAATTAAATTTCGTTTATCCTCAACCTCTAGAAAAAGGAAGATACAAGCCTAGTTCTATCATTTGTTTGTATTTTTATCAACATTATAATTCATATATTGTGTTAGTTGAAAATGTGTTATTGTTTTTTGTCTATCTTAATTTTGCAGTGTGAATGAAACAATACATCAATGAAACAGTTTTTTTTTACTGTGAAAGCGATCGATTAGAAATTGAATCTAAAGAGATGACTCTCATTTCAATTCAAGTGTGCTCATAATCTATGAGGATGTATAAATTAGTGTATATGCATTATTTTTATCTCGTGACATCAGCTTTTTTTAATACTGAGTGTATAGGATCATTTGAACTACATGTTCTGCTGTTGCATCTGTTAATAATAATTATGATTTACTTATATTTGACGATTTCTATTTTACGGGTACACGTTATTTATCCATATACTGATTTTAAATAAATATAGCTATATGAATTCATGAGCCTTCGCCAGGTTGTATATCATATCTTTCTGAGTTAAGGACTGTTAAACAATTATCAAGTATTGCCTTACATAAATAATTACTGTTTAATACATCCATATACCAATTCTTCATACTCATCATACTATGGAAGTATCAGGGAATTTCGTTCAAGAAAGGATGATACTGTTGCGGTAACCTCTCCACTGGTACTATGAGTTTTTCTCATAATTCATATTCAGTAAATATCGTAACGTTTTACTATCGTTGTGTGCGTAGAGGATTTTCTCGAAATAAATTCATCACCAGTCATCTAGTCAGTGATTCAGAGATCAGGAAATACACGGAGACTAGAGGTCCGTTATTGTTATTAGTGCATAAAGTCGATGGTCGTCCGTAACTAATATTTTTAGTAGTTCATTTCATGTATGGTATACGATCAGTTATAATTGATTTGTTGTTAATTAACAAAGGCCTTTTTGTTAGGACTATAGAATATTAGCTGATTATAATCAAATCATACCTGATGTCATCTTTGATATATTTGAAATGTAATTGTGTATCCATAGAAATAAATTTGACGCTTTTTTATTATTTCTTTATTTGCATATCATTTTTTTAATTGACGATTTCGTTTCCATCTTTTCCATCTTCTCTTTTTTAGTGGTTTAATTGAATTAGTCATATCAGTTCAAGTGTTGTTTTACTGCATAAATTCACGCTGTATCTATCATCTAAATATTCGTCTTTTAAACAGTGAATTATTGATAAAATAATTGGTTATGTTTAAAATACATATAAAATTTGGTTTTACATTACTCTTCAAGTACTTTTGTCTGCACTGTTTCTTGCTTTACCGATACTTTTTTAAACTAAGGACTTTCTTAAATGACGTTATCTCATTTCTGTCATTCTTGAAATGAGTCTGTGTTTGGATAGTCCTTTACAAACAGTTTTGATACCTCTATCTAAAGTAACTATTCCCATTCTACTTAGTTTCACGTAGATGGATGCTCATATGTACTGGCTTTTTAAAGTATCATTTAGTAATACAGTTATTGTTCCCGTATAAATTCGTAATTAATTCATTTACTGGAAAAGTATAATCAAGTTTACTTGGTCTTGAACAGTACTTTTTATGTTGATTAATTAAATTGCTCGGCTGTGTGAGCCAAAACAAAAGAATCTGGAACCGAACCTACAATATAATAAAAAAATCGAATATTTTAAACCGTTAACTTGCCGCTTTATGTACATATAATTGTAAAGAGTCATACATTTTTCTACATTAAAATTTCGGCGAGACTCTAATTTAGGGACGAGCCAATCAGAAGACAGTTAGTATAAAGTGAAAATATATTATAAGAAAGTAATGAATTACAGTGGATATTCTTCTTTTACATGATTTAAAAACTTGTTAAGGTTTGTTAAAGGTTCAGAGGTTCTGAATTCATAATGCATATGGTATAGAAACTCGTCCATAGGGTTAGGGTTATAGCCTCTCAATAATCACCTCTTTAAAATCCGCCGTAAACCGTTCGTATGTTAGCATCACGTGTTGAACTTGGCTTCGTGACCTTGAAATTGCTCAAACGCTTCTGATTGTCTCGTCCCTATATTAGAGTCTCGTCACCCTAACCCTATGGACGAGTTTCTATACCATATGCATTATGAGTTCTGAACCTTTATCAAACCTTAACAAGTTTTTAAATCATGTAAAAGAAGAATATCCACTGTATTTCATTACCTTCTTATAGTATATTTTTACTTTATACTAACTGTTTTCTGATTGGCGAATAATTGTCAAGGTCATTTTAGATTCGTTCAAAGGTCGTCCCTAAATTAGAGTCTCGCCAAAATTTCATCTTAATTTTTTGCACACACACATTGCACTAAGTTTCTTACTTTTCGTCCTCGACTTTTTAAAAGAATTAGAATAATTTGAGCATAGAAACTAAATATATATATCATATGTTATTTTATATTACATACACTAGCAATTTTATGAGTGAACATAGATGATCACATTTAGTTTGCACCAATAAAAATTACTTTTACTCTAAGTTCATATCTGATCATTTGAGTTAATCAATATTTAATTGGTTAAATACCGTTAGAAATACAATTTTTCTACTCATTGGGATATAACAAAAATATATTTATTATCAAAATATATTAACTTATATATTTAGCTTCTCATGAAGTAGTCCTTATAAATTGTACATTTGAGAAATCTTGTTTTTGTTTTTTATTGCTAATTTTTTCATTACTTTTACAAATTCTAAACAGAGATGTAGCTACAAGAAGTTTTCTTGTTGGAAAAAAGTTAATTGTCAAACTATCAGATTTTTCAATGTGTAGACCAATTCAACCTGGTGTTGATTTTATCTCTACTTCTAATGAATGTTTGCCGATAAAATGGTTACCTCTTGAATCAATTTTAGAAGGAAAATTTCATACAGATACTGATGTTTGGTCTTTTGGAGTTTTTTTATGGGAAGTTTTCAGTTTCGCTGTCGAACCATTTACTGATCTAAGTCATACAGAAGTGAGTATTTTTCTGGAAATTTCAGTTCATTAAAAAAAATTAAGTATGTCATTTTATGTTTTAATACTTAATAGAATCGAGTTTTATTCATTTGTATAATTGAGAATTGCAAATGTTTATCAAATGGGTGTTTTCAATTCTAGGAGATTGAGCTTAATTGTGGTATTTAGCCGAAGTTTATTGTTAAGACTTCAAATATTCAGGTTGTGAAAATCCGATATTTTATTTAGCATTGAGCAATACTATTTTAATTAAGTCTTTAAAATAATATCAGAAGGGGTTTTTGTGGATATTATAGTAATTTTAATAGTTGAGATCATGAGTCAATTGAAGCTAGACCAATATGGAAAACCTAGAAGCACTAGACAGTAGGACGAAATGGACCTCCAGTGCTTCCAGGTTTTCCATAGTGGTCTAGCTTAAATTGACTCATGATCTCCACTACTAAAATATATTTAGAATAAATTTCTTAGTTATTTAGTTTGTTATTTATGTGTAAATTGAAGCTAATATTGCTTATAATTTTAGTTATTCAAACCAGTGTTTGTGAAGGCATCAAATTAAGTTTACTACATTGATATGTAGCAAGATTTATTAATACAGATCAAGGTAAATGACTTATATCTGTTGCGAAATATTTTGATTTCAGTCAATTTTTCTATCATTATAAATGATATAGATTTTTCTACTAATTTTTTTTAAAAAAGATTATTAAACTTTTGGAACACGGTGATCGTTTAACACGTCCATCACAATGTCCAGAATCTATTTATCAGTTAATGCTTAAATGCTGGTCAGCTGATCGTACAGAACGTCCAAAATTCACTTACATAAGAAACTGCTTAAAAGAAATCTTCAAAGATCTGTAAACATTTTAAATTTTAAATGAACTATTTCAATTTTACTTACAGAGAATCAGACATGATTATTTATTTTTTAAACTTTTTTTCCCAACCAAATATTTGTTGTTTTCGTTTTTCTAATTAGTAATTTTCCTATAACTTAATTACTGCTATAATTTCTACTGTATAGTGTTTTAAGTTAAAAGTTGTTTTAATTCTTAATCTTGAGCAGTTTTAAAAAAAATTTTTAACCAGACATAATCAATGTGAACTTTGATACGAATGTGGGTTAGCCCAAATGTTCATAACAGTTCGGCACAACGATATAGAATTAGAAAGGTGAATGGCAAAGGAGTTGAGATAATTTTACAGTGATAAGAATTAAGATTAAATATTGGAAATACGATTTAAATAGGCAGTGAAAATAGCGTTTCAAACTGTACTCAGAATTAGATGGTAGAATCACGTCGGTGAATTTTTTTTAGATGAATTCTTCCCAGAATATACTGATGGATATATT